ACGTTGAGGTCGACTGCGGCAAACACTAGGATCTATCGAAGCCAATCTAGCGACGAGTGCAGGTCGCGTGACCTTCTGGTTGAGCTTAGCGAGGTCACGTCACGTGATACATTTGCAACTCTGGATTGGCTGCAGTCCGTCCTAAAGCCAGTTGAAACATTTAGTTTGAGTCTGACCGACCGCTTGTGACTGCTTATGACGAGATAATAAAAATTCTGGCTTATCGGATAAATCCGATAAACTTGGAAAAACAGTCACTGGTGAAATTTTCGTAAATTCTGATTTATCTGAAAAACTCAAAATTTCAAAGCCAAATAAAAACCAAGAAAGACGTAATTTGGTATGTTACAAATAAAGATTGTCAGGGCACCGGCCTAGTGGTTCTAAGTGACAGCCAATTCAGTTTTCTATTTTTTTTTAATTTTGGACTATTGACAGAAGAAAGTTTCTTATTTATCGTCAAGGTTCGTTCAGTTAGTGGGACAATTAGTACTGCCAATCGCAAGGGTGCCAATGGCAAATGCAGCTGCAGAAATATATTTCGATACAGGTGCTTTTTGTATAAATTTAGTGTATGTTCTTATCAAAACACATTCTTATATTGAAGAAAAAAAAAAGGAAGAGCAGGGTATAATTGAACTTTGAATTTTGGAAAGTTGGAGATCTAACAAAAAACTAACTCTGGTAAACCCTGAATTTCCAGCTCAAAAATAAACCGAAAAACACACTTTGAATTTGACAAAAAATAAACTCTGAAAACACGGAATCCTGCGGATGCCACTGGCGCTATCTGTCGGGTGGCCCTGGCCCACTTCCGGTCTGCGAACATTTTCTGGTTTTCTTGCAGATCGTTTTTTTCATCGTAGGCTTCAAATAATTCTGACACTCTTATGGGTGGCCTCTTCTCGTATACTGTGGTTCGATCTCGCAAATGCTGCAGAACCTAAATTAGGACCAGAAGTTGGCAATGGACGGCGCCAGTGCATCATCTTGTCAAAAGCAGTGTTACGCAGTTGGTCGCACTGAGACACAAAACCCTGAACCGGCCTTTCAAGTGAAGCAGAGCCTGTGGGCCCACTAAAGAATGAAACAGTGCTGTACCTAAACACTTTATTCATTTAGTTTATGACCAATACCTTGGAAAGGAATGTTGTCATTGCTATGACTGGCCACTAAGTAAACTGGGTAAACTTTCCGAAAGAAGAGACCTTCGTGATTTGTTATTTTTGCGCAAACTTTTAAATGGCAAAATAGCCTGCTCGTGTTTATTATCCACCACAAGCTGTTGTGTGTCTTCTTGATCTTTGAAGGTCTATGGAACTGTTTAATGTTGGTGGGTGCTCTCGCTTCTCACTCACACGAAAGCCTCGTTTAACGGTGTTTCATCATCGTCAGTTATTTTGAAAAGACTTTCAGCCTTTTCACTCTGGTGAAGAAGGAAGACCAGTGAAGCTGTACTATAGTGGGAATGAAGTAATGGCCGTCTGCAAGTCGGCATGCCAGAGTGGAAAGGCTCGAAAGGTTGCCGCGATCTACGAGCGACGACGGCAAGCAGACAACCAGCAAACACAACACTGTGGATAGCTATCGCCATCTATGAGCGACGGCAGCAACCAGAGTGTTGTGTCGACGTTTCTGTGCGGACAAACATGATCCTGGGAAATTTAGCCCGTAAGGCCTCATTCACACAGCCGGCGTTTCGCCCCGTCCCGGCGAAAGCGCCGTGGGCGCCGTGCCGAAAACGGGACGGTGCGGGGACGGAGAGTGTTTGAAGCAGCGGCGACGGAGCTGCCGGCGGTGGCTATAGCAATAGATGGATGCTGACGGCTGTGTTCCCTTATATTGGGCGGTAGCTTGCGCCTCCTAGCTTCGAAATTTTTCTGCACCTTTCAAATTCCGCGTCGAACGTTTGTATTCCGTAAAACTGTATAGCCGGTATAACCTATTATTTCTTGCACAGTTTCACACTTCCCTCGATCTCTTCTACCAATCTTGTAATCCCATATTTGTGGCTGCTTTGTAGCGGCGTCGACCACCAAATGTAGCGGACGATTGGCGTCGATGGACGCAGCCACAACTATTTTGTTCCTTGGAGCTTGCGTTTGGGTCGCCGCTAACGATCTTGCATGTTTCAAAACATTTATTTTATTTGTCTCCACGTTTCGAAACAAAAGCGACAAGACCCACTGCGAGCACGTTTCACATCAATCACTCCTTACGCCGCATTTCGTTCGCAATGATCGACGACCATATTTTCTTTCTTCGGCTCTTTTTCCTTATAGTGAGTTCGTTTCACGGCACTCGTGCCCACGCGTGCCCACTCGCAGCGTGGAGCGGGTTCGTTTCGGCCGGCACTCCACGAGTGGCTGCACTCTCCGAGTTCGTTTCAGCGCTGGCACCCCACGCGTGCATGCACTCGCTGCACCGAGAAAATCGGGAGTGCGCCAAAATGCAATCCCGTCATGCCTCGCTCCGGCGAGGAGCGGGAGCAGATGACGAGGGTTCGTCTGCTACAATGTGTTGCGGAACCGAAAGGAAAAAAAAGTAGATTTTCTGATAGAAATCGCGTCCCGCGGGCAACGGAATCAGATGCGAGCTTGAATTGTGAGCGTCTGTTATTTCATGAATTGAGCAATTGACAAACTGTGCTTTATTTGCAGGTTTAAAGTCGCTCTGTTGCCGTACACACGCTGAAATATAGCAGTGTGTAAACAAATGCTCAGAACAGACGCATCAGCGGCCCCCGAGATGTTTATCACCGTCCGTGTGCGGGTGAAAAATTGAACATTCGTCGACAAAACTCTTCCAGCAGAAACCTGTGACTGCACTATAAGCATCAGAGAAAGCTAAACATAGTGACTTTACCCGAGGCTTGGGCAACATTTACCTGCGTCAACTAACTTGCCCCGTCGTATTTTGTTTGAGAAAGCTCGTTCTTAACGCCCTCACTGAGGCTGATATCTGATCCACCTGTAATGACGATCGAAATCGAAAGTCGCACGAAAGTTTTGCTGGATATTCCAACAGACTAGTTTTAAGTCGCACCCTTTCAGTGGTTCACGCATAAAACCATGCTCAAACGGATCAAGTTTCTGCTCGGACAGCATCATCAGTTTTCTTCAGTGTAAACGGTTATAAAGAGATCGCAACAAGCTGCTTTGTAGACAGCTGGTTGTGGAAATTTACGCCGTCTGTAACTATCTCTACGACAGCCAAGTTGCTTGAAGTCGTCGCAAATATAAACTACAGGTTGCAGCGACCAATGTTTGTAGATAAACGTTGGTAGTGATTGCACTCTCGCATTCCTACCCATCACTCCGAACAGGAAGACGCTAGTTTCGGTTTGAGGTTGGTATCTTTTCTACAACATAGATGGCGGAAGCATTAGTTTTCTGCACTCGGTTATCTGGCGAGTTCGTTTTAGTCCAGTTCTCTGTGCAACACTCTGCGAGTGCGATGCATTCTGGGAGAGAACTCGAACGGTGCCAGTGCGTGTGAAACAAACTTGCTATTAGAATCGCATTTACGTCTATCGCAAAGGAACCGATGTGGTCCCACCATTTCTAGCAGCAGCTCAGCGGTAAATCCAAATCTCTGTATGCCCGTTGTTCAAAAGCCGTAAACATCACACAATGCGCCCGTCGTCTTGCTGGCCTCCCTCCTTCCCGAAACGAGCTTTGTTTGCTTTGTCCAACGTTACTAAAACACTCAGTTGGGAAACTGCCATGGAGACTGCTCTGAAGAAGTGGCCCTGATCTGTCCTCGAGAACCGAGCTAATGGCGAACACAACGCCCCCATTTCTCCCACAGCAGCCACTCGAGGAACTGCACGTTACTTCTATTTTGGCTTTAACCGGCCATTGTGGCGCCGAAGCAGGTACAGTCGAAGAGGTTAAAGGGATGCCAGCCCCGTCTCCCCAGCAGACGCGCTGCGGCTTATTACCGAAGTTAAAATGCACCTAGGTCGGGACGCGCTACCTGAAAGCACCGCTGAGGTACGGTTGTATAAAAACAATATTAATTGTGCCGCAAACCCTGCAAACTAAATATTTTAAAAACATCACGTGCCCACCATTTTGCACTAAACTTCAATAAATTTCATACAAGAAAGAGTTTTTTTCCGTTTGTTCTTACGGAAAAATATGCTTTCTAAAAGCTCAAGGTGACCACAGTACAGACCAGTACAGACAAATGATAAAGAGTGGCGCTGTTGTCGTATTTAGCTCGGTCTCTGTGGATGCCGGCGGCCCAAGTTTCGACGGTGAGTTTCCCAACTGAGTGTTTTAGTATCGTCGGCTTCGTCGTTAGGGCGGTTAGGGCACAGTACGGTCAATTCCCTCTGCCGTGGCCATGCCCATGGTCACCGAACTTTTGAGAATCCGCCAGACTCAGCGAAAGTTTTCGATTTTGTGATTGGCCGTCCCTCGATGGGGTGGGACGCCGGCATTCCTGGTCTCCCGCCGGTGCTGGGGACGTTAAACATCCTCGTTTGGCCCATTTCGGGTCCGGCAACCTGATTTTGATCGGAAACCGATCTCAACACCCTCTCCGCCGGCGAAAAGGACGGCCGGCGCTTTCGCTGGGCCGGGTGAAAAAACAGCTGTGTGAATGAGGCCTAACAGTTCCGCTGTAAAACTTGGTGCCAGGACTGTCTTAGGATATGCAGATTTATTTTTATTCTGTGCTGTATTTTTGTGTGTGTGTCTGTGTGTTTTGCGCTACATTGCAATGTACCACCAGGAAGGCATGTTCCTGTTGGTGGGCATAAGCATAATTAAATAATGTGAACTTGACAAGTGCGAAACAAGGTGCTTACTGGCAGTCTTTGTAGTTTGTGTGCTTTTTTGTCGTCCTTGTCTTATTCATTCTATTTATTTAGTTTCCAGTATGAACCAACTACTCCAATCACGAATCGCGATGCTCTATCGAGCACTGCGACACGACAGTGGTGCTTCGATAATCCTCCAAATGTTGCGTGTGCCATCCCGTTGCCTTTCCAGAAGAGCGTTCGGCCTCCTGACCATGTCTGGCAGCAAGCCCAACGTCGTGTTTGTGCTGGGACCCCCGGGCTCTGGGAAAGGCACCCAGTGTCAGAAGATTGTGGAGGTACGACGGGGACGTCCCGCTTATGTCCGCGGGACATCCACGGGACACGACATCCCGTGTGTGCTGTCACGCTCAGTGTCGTCGCTTATTCTGGTAGCCATAGACAACTGAGGTCTTCGTAAGGTGACACAACTGCTTGGGAGAAGACCTTTTTGCAGTAATAGTAATAGCAAAGTTGTTGTAGTGGGTCCTGTGAGGAACAAGGTAGCAACCTGTCTCATTAAGCCCTTTGAGTTGCACATTTATTTATTTATCCTCAAGGTCATACAACATTACATTATTAGTAAATAATTAAATCATGAGCCATTCCACTTTGTGAAGGTCGATGACCAGCCAAGCTGTTTAGCACATGACAGACCTGCCTTGAGGAGCGGGAGGAAGCTAAACACATGCAGCAGGGCAGCCACCCCTGGGAGAGCGGAAGGAAAGGAAACTAGGCACGCAAGCGCTTGGAACAACGACCAAGAGAGGGCGGTGCGAGCGTAGACATGGCCGACGCGGGTCGCACAGCGGCAAATCTTTGAGAAACCTTTATTATCTACCTGAGAGTCTACTGATCTTGAAAAGGGTGCCTATTGATAACTAATCTACTGAATAGACCTATTGCTAAATTACCCAAACATCAAGGAGAATGGAGGGAATGGTGTTCCACGTACCGCACGTGCCGGCATCGCAGCAACAACTGTCCTAAAGCAAAAGCCTAAAACAAATGGCATCTTGCACGCGTATTAGTCAGCACTTTTGTTTTTGTTATTTACTTAGAATATTTTATACAGGGAAGGCGTGCGGCGGTGTGAGCGTGAAGTCTTTAGTCACTTCTCACGAAAAATCCACGGAACCCTAGCCATAAACAGCTGCGCTGTAAAATATAAAAGTCTCTGGTTTGAAAATTGGGTTCACTTTAGTGATGGCTTTTTGTGTCAATTTTGGCAATAAAAAGCTTAGAGAGTCATGTAAGTTGAGCTGGTGTTGCACTGTTCAGTGAATCCCGGTCGACGGCATTGTGAATTATTTTTCATTTGTCTAGCATCTATATCGTAAATTCTGCGATAAATCCCGAGGTAGGAAAACAAACCAATAGATTGGTTTGTTTTTCATTTGTCTAGCATCTATATCGTAAATTCTGCGATAAATCCCGAGGTAGAAAAACAAACCAATAGATTGGTCTTTTTTTCCCACTCATTTTGGGCTTTATAGTTTTCTGTTAATTCATCTTTATGACGTTGAATGCAAATATTAACTTTCATTTGCACATGTGACAAGACAATTGTTTTTTTTTTTTTTTTTGTAACTTTATAGTTTTCCATCAGTATTTTCATACTTTTCCTCTTGTTTTCAAGTTGTCTTTCATTTTTTTTCCCTAGAGTTTCGGTAGCTTTGATGCAGTTTTCTGTAAGGCTTTCTACTTTTTTGCTTTCCGAAAAGTATTTTGTAGTTTGAGAGTAGTTATTCTTTTTAATAATAAATACTTCAAATTTTCAGCTGTTTTCTAAAAGTTGTTTGATAGATATTCAAGAGCTTTTACATAGTATTCAGATAGTTTTAAATGAAGCTTTCTTAAATTCCTCAAAGCTATTAGGAATGCAAAAAGAAAAAAAAAAAAAAGCTTCTCATAGCTATCAATAATTTTGGAAAAACTGCAGATAGTCAGCATATTAACAGTTTTTCAGGGCCCTCTGTTGTGCACTGCACAACACTGTTAGCATGAACATAACTTTGGCGCTTCTTCAGGTTTCGCTTGGGGGGGGAGTACTGGGAGAAAAACAGAAAATCGGCAATGGGCTTGTTTGCACTAACAGTGTCGTTTTGTGTACATATCCCATCCATTTTTCCTTGTCTTTGTTTGCATATTTACTGTATCTTCCATTCTCTAAGTCCCCTGTGAACGGGAATTTTCACAAAAAAGTGGGTATATAGTACCCACTTTTGTACCTTAGTACAAGTTGCACTTACCGTGAAATACCGAGCTTTCTCTTATTCCACAATAAGCGCCCACCTCCTAATTGTTTTGAACATTCGGAAAATACATAAGGACGTGTCTATACATATGATTGACCTAAGAAGCACCCATCCCCCAGTTTTACTTGATTATCTCCAAATTTTGAGTGGGTGCTGGCTAGGGATTTAATGATATACATTTGTGTACGGTCGGCGCAGCAAAATTGCATTGGCAACCCTGCATGTTTGTATTCAGATGGAACTATATGCACAAGTGGGAGACACTTCTGACGAATTGCGAGAAATACAACCCTCTTGGCGAATTCGCACAGATATTTTTCGTTGCAGCATGTACCCTGTGCCAAATTTTTTTCGCTAAACAAGAAAAACAAAGAAATTGATGCAGAAACGCAGTTGCATGGTAATTTACAAATAATCTTTTTGTAGCGATCCGTCACAAGCTTGGTTTGTGGTGAGCTTTAAATGAAGATTGCATGAAAATTATTATCATTTATTTTTAAAGAAATGACATAGAACCTTTCATTACTGCTTCAGTTTCCTGGCAAACTTGCAATTTCATGCGCTGCCCACACGAGCAACACGCGCTTGGCGGCCCAATGGTCCTACTCTGGCGTCACGACTGCTCGGAGGTTTTTCATGTTTTCTCTCGTTTAGTTACATCTTCGGGGAAGAGGAACTTGATATTCAGATTCACGAGATAAGAATACGTCAAAATTCACCTCTAACTCTTTTTTTTAAAGAAGTGTTTCAGTTTTACTTTAATGACAAGATGTACAAAACTTGCTGAAAACATTTCTTTTAACATTTAACAAGATCAAATGAAAGAAGAGAGCTTAAAGAGGCATTGTAAGGTAAATTTGCAAGTTATAGCTTTGTTGCCTGTGGACAACACCAGGCAAAAGTTTGAGAATTCACTCTTTACGTAACCTCTATAGATTACTATAAAATGTCAATAATATCTGCACATACAATAGCCTCAAGTCAACTGGTCACATATCGTAAAATATTCTGGAAAGAGAAAAACACTTATTCATATTTTTCGCCGTTCCGCCGTTCTCGGTTGCTGCCTATTGGTGCCCCGAACTTCTTTTTTCTCGTCAACTATTTGCGTATCTGTTCACTAGATGGCTCTGTAGTTTCAATCTTCAAGACTTGCCGGACTACGAGATTAAAAAAGTGTGATAAAACCAAAACTTTTAAACAAAAAAAAATTATTATGTGGTTTGTTGCCTGTAGGCAACACTCGTCATCATAGGGTTAATGGTTGATCATATATTTCAAAGCAGTAATAAACGGTTCTATGTCATTGTAATATGTCACTATGTCAAGTGTAATATTTTTTGTGCAATCTTCATTTAAAGCTCACCACAAACCAAAGCCGAAACCCTGCCTGCGCCGGGCAACATTGCTCCTGTGTCATCACCTGCATCTCTAACCACCAACAAATCGTGATGCCACATACCCGGTGCAGCTTGGCACAAAGGCGGAAGTGTTGTCTGCTACAATCGGTAGTCTGCTACACTCAACGACACCCGTACTACCGCGGCCGCAGCTTGTGTTTTAGCACAGATGTCAAGTTTTTCCAAGGGCTTGCTTTGAAAACTAGAAAATGAGGTTAAGTAAACCAGACGTGAATAGTATGTCGTGACAGGCTTGTAGAAGTATGCCATGCTCAACGTCACAAACTGGCTTTCTCGCACACGACAGACACTTCTGGCGATGATGCATGCTCGCAAGCGGAGCACACAGGCGCATGCACATTCTACAAATCACGTGGTGAATGATGAGCGCGCTGCTAGTGCTGCCTGTAGGTTCTCTTTAAAATAGTACAAAACAAGCAAACAAATCTCCCCGAGGGTCCCAAGCACGACGAAGGTAGTGCAGGGTGGGCTGCGCCGATACTGTGGTGTTCACTGCGCTGTTGGCTTTGCCGTGCCTTATGCAGATTTTAGTAATTTCGCGCACCTCAAACATTGTTTGCCAGTTTCGTCAACTGTTAGGTGGAAATAGATTGAAATATGTGACGTGTGGTCTTTTTTGGTGATAATAGAGGGAACTGCATTGTTTTCCCAATATGTAAAAAGAACCAAAGTTGCCCTTTAAAAGGCCACTAATATATAAATATATATATATATATATATATATATATATATATATATATATATATATATATATATATATATATATATGTTTTTTTTTTTAAGTCTGCTTGGGACACTCATGTTAAAAAATAAATTTTATGTTAAAATTTTTTTTAGAGCAGTATTGACGGCGCGAGATGTAGTCACCTCCTTTCCACTTGTTTTCTCTCGGCATTTCGGTTGCATGGAGGAGAGGTGGATTGGCTTGGCCATCATGTTGAGGTGGAGAGAGTGTATGACCATCCTCTGACGTCATGGACCTTTGCGCGCAGAATTTTAAATAAATCTCGCACCGTCAATATTGCTCTAAAGAATTATTTTTTCACATAAAATTAATTTTTTGACACGGGTGTCCCAACCAGACTGTTTAAAAAAAACATTATTTTTCTTTTCGGTTCCCCTTTAAGGTTCCTCTCGAAGGAAAAAATGCATAGAAGTCGTACCGTCGTATAAAACACACCAACACAAATTTAAAAAAAAAAATAGATTTATACATTTGAAAATATGGCGAGTGCAAGTTGTTAGTGTTGTCTAGCCAATTCAGTGTTTTGTCACACACGTTAGCGTAGTGCCCTTCTATACAAATGGCGATTGGCCGAGCGGAAATCTATGCTCGGTGGTCTAACCTCAAATTGAGTGCTGGGACTTGGCACAATAAAGAACCTTTGTTCTCTCTCCGACTTGCAGAAATTTGGCTACAAGCACCTGTCGGCGGGGGAGCTGCTGCGAGAAGAGCAGCGCACGCCGGGTTCGGCGTACGGCGAGGAAATCGCAACGCACATCAAGAACGGGACCATCGTTCCTGTGGCCATCACCTGCAGTCTCCTGGACAGGGTGAGTCAGTGGTTGACCCTCAGATCGACGTGGACCTTAAAGCACAGAAGCTTCACATTACAAAGTGGAAATTGCTGTTTCCTTGTTGTTACGGTACGTGGAATGCTTCTTTGACTGGTGTGTACGGCTTCCTATCCTGCCCTTCCATCAAAAGTGGAATGACGTCCCAGAAGACTGCGCATCGTGTCGTCGGATATCACGATCCTCGCAACCGATGCTAGAAGTCCCGGCAAAAAATTGAAAGACGCTTACAATCCCCTGTAACGACAAATTAGATTGCAGCTCTTGAGGAGGAGGGGGGAAGGTACGGGGAGGAAGGTATGCCCCTCCTCCTCATCCGTACCCTCCCCTCCTCCTCTCCTGCTCGCCTCCCATTTAGGGGAAATTTCCCCGTTAAATTTACCCATAATGCAAAGCGCAGTGACGTCATCTGTGACGTCACTGGAGACCTTTGTGACGTCACGTGTGACATCATCATGAGAAACGTCCCATAATGCACTGCACGGTTACGCTGACCGCTCAAGCCGGAAACGGGCGCCCATGATGCAAACGGGCCCATAATGCACCGCTCAAGCCGGAAACGGGCGCCTAAGAGCTGGGCTCTAAACGTATGAGGGAATGCAGGCGCCACAGTCGTTGCGGGGTTACAACTCCCGGCTGCCGAAGGTTCCGACGGCCTCCAAGTCGAAGGGCAACCCGCAGCAGAACAGACATCTCCCGCATCCACCATCGCCGCCGCAACACTGCCAGAAACGCGGCCGAAAACGACGTGACACTGCTACAACTTTGTCGACTGGAAATCAAAGGAACATATTTTTGGATACGTTGAACACATCAGTTGGAGACGTGTCCGAGGCACTATGGTTGCACGGACGAGGCTCTCTGGGATCTGCCGGAACCTCGTGGCGGCACAGGCATCCTTTTCAAGTGCCACCTGATGCAGTTTCGCTAGACGACAACGCCACGTCCCAAGTTACCACTGCCTTTGGCGTGCTAGTACATTTGTAATGCGGTTGTGCTTCATTGTGTTTCAGGCCATGAAGAAGGACGGGACCAACAAGTTCCTGATTGACGGCTTTCCCCGCAACAAGGACAACCTGGACGGCTGGAACGACGAGATGAGCGGCAAAGTCCACCTCCAGTTTGTGCTCTTCCTCGAGTGTCCCGAACAGGTGAGGCTGTCGCAATGTGTCTCGGGTGGCGCGGATATCCCGTCGACGTCTACGGGACATTTGTCAAACTTTAAGTTGTCCTAGCTGAGGATTATTCATGCATAGGTTGAGTTTTATTACGGAACTCATCTATCGTGAAAGGCAACCAATTCTTTCAGAGGGCACCATTCTGCGTAGGAACAGTACGAAGCGAGAATGGCGATGATTAAGGAAGAAAAAAACAACATTGGGAATACTTTCAATTTCGCCTACTGGCACCCCATAAATTCACTACCCTCTATATTTAAGGTTAGCAAATGTGTATGAATCCTGCATATGCTTGATGGGCATACCCTGGCTAATTGCCGCTCTGAAGGCAATAATGCACCAACCAAATAACTGCTCAGAAGTGCCCCCTTCGTTCAAGCGCCCACTGTTAACATTTCTCAAACTTGGGAATTCTGTAAATGATATGTTAAGTACCCAATTTTATTCGACAAGCGCCCATGCCTAAAATTAACCCAGTATTTAGGGGAAGTGGGGTGGGCGCTTCTTCGGTATTATACGGCACTCATGATTACTTGGTTGTCATACTTTTTTTTTTCTTACGCTTAATGGATGTTCTATTCCCCTAAGGGTTGCCAGCTGTTGGGGGGGCACAATAAAAACATGCTTGATCAATTAACTGAAGCAGTTACTGTGTCGTATTGCATGACAGACGTGCGTGGAGCGGTGTCTAAAGCGAGGCCAACAGGGCAGTGGCCGCACCGACGACAACATGGAGAGCCTCAGGAAACGGTGAGCTTCCTCGTGCGACTTCAACGATCACTACGACGCAGTAGAACCTTCTTAATACGTTTTTGGGGGGACCCCGGCAAACAGATGTATGGTCCGGAAAACGTAACAAAGCTTTTGGAAGTCTGTACATGAGACGAATAGACTCTCATATAGGTTCACCTTTTGACGGTCATCGCTGTACATGCACTACGGCAATGATTACAGATTTCAAAGCATCAGTTTAAATGCAAAACAACACGCACCGCTAAAGGCGGTGGTATTTGTTATGTCTTTGGCGAACCATAAAAGTCACATTTTTCGCCCACATTGTGCAAAGAAACGAAAGTGATAGCTGTAGCATGGTCACGCGATGCGGGTGGAATGGTGCCATCACATACCTGAGGACGGAGGTGCGACGTGGTTAATTCTCATAGCCGTCGTGGATGCCACTGACGACTGCCACCAGTGATCCGTGAAGTTTATAGTTTTCAAATTAAACGCTCTGCACACGTGAGGCTGACTTTGCATACCGGCGCCCTGATGGTAGCGCCAGTGGGAGCTTTGGCTCTTCCAATTCAGACTTCCACTGCTTTTCGTAATTAAGTACAGAGGATGAGAGCGTATCATCCGACGGAGAAACTCTGTAATGTTAGTAATCTTAAGCCGCTGGAATATTGCAGAAGCAGGTGTGCCAAAATGGAACCGAATTGAAGAAAGGTGACAACTTTTCGCCATCAATATTTTAATTTCGTGCTTCTAAACCAAAGAGCTTGCAAGCACGGCATGTGCACCTTCTAGATAATTAAGAAAGAAAACCTGCGCATTGACTTTTGCTTTACACTATTTTTTTGGGAACAAAACCTGACCACTGAAAAACATTTTTTGGAGAAAAAAAAACTTAACCGTCAAAGGGTTAAAAATGTTATTTTGGTAAACTTTATTCATTTTTGTTTAGTTTGGAATGTTCCAAGTTTTCCGTATTATCGGATGTACGCCGCTACCATCCTTCCGAGCAGAGTTGACGGAGTCGAAGACGGAATGTAAAAGAATCGATTTGTGCAGGTTCCGCACATACACCGAAGACACGCTGCCCATCATTCAGTACTACGACAAGATGGACCTAGTCAAGAGAGCAGACACCAGCAACAACGACCCGGATGAGGTGAGTTTTTAACGCTGAATTGGTCATAATTAAGATTCCGTGTGTTCGGTAAATGCCGAGGAATCCCGAGAATCGACCCCCATGCCAGCTTTTCAAAGTCGAGGTAATCAAAAAAACTCCCGAATCGGAGTGGAAGCTCTATTTCTTCTAGAATTCTAGAATGGGAGGCGTTCTCTTCTGCAAGTTTTGCAATCAACGTTCCTTGTGACACGTCTTTAACCAGTCCCCGCATTATCACTTTTATCGACCTCGCAACCCATATGCCCAGATATTGTATGCCTCAATCCTTCTGAAACAATAGTCTACCTATTTTAACTAAAACTTGGGACCAAATTTCGAACCACCTCTCTTATCTTCTTTTCTCTCGTTTTTCCCAGCCTATGTGAGTCTTGTCTCCGCAGAGGAAGACTGATAACACGGGTGGGCATGCCCTCTTTCCCATTCTTGACACTAAAACAACAACGAGAACCGATTTAATTTCGCCTCAAAATGGATCACGGAGGACGCTGTACAGTAGGCTCGCAAAAATTCAAACTCTGATATTTCATTCCCCTGCTTAATTCAAACAATTTAAACAAACCTTGGTTGTCCCGCTATGTTTTTAATGTGTTCATAAGCCGCTTAATTCCAACGGCGTTTTCGTGTAATTCATACTTACTGTTCCCGCCGCCCCGTTGAGTGCGCTTCTTTCCAAGCACCGGTGCACTGCAGAGCGATAACACCCACAGAGCTTGCTTCCGCGGGTGTTGCTTCCCGACAGTGCACAGGTGCTAGGTGAGAAGCGTACTCAACAGGGCTCAAGCAGGGCATACGAGCTATGAAAGAGGGGAACCATGGAGAAATTTCCGCTGCAACTTGCACGGATGCTGTGACATGGCAGCATGGCATAGGTCTATGCCGCAGCGTCTACTCAAGTTGCCACGAAAACTATTGCGCGGTGCCCGTTTTTATCGCTCATGTCTCCCCTACTTAATAGTTCACATTTGGCAACTTCTTGGCCTGATGGACGAATTGAAATCTTCCTACATTCAACTGGCATCTTTCAGAAGCATGAATCACCAACTAGCTCAGTATCGACGATGCACTACGCTGGCTCTGCGAGCCGAGCAGCACGTGCGAGGAACCTTTCGTGACGTCATGTTTTCCTTTCGCCTTTTACTGCCCTCTCCCATTGCCGCCGAGGGGCGTGGTTTTAATGCAATTTCAAAGGCTATGCTATGCGGGCATGAAATAGCCTACTTTTTGTGATATTTGCGGTGCTTGGAGTCGGATTAAAACAAATCAAGTGTTTTTCATTGAATTCAAAACCACTTCAGCTTCCTTTTAAGGCACTGGCACTGTAAAGATTTTTTTTTTTTTTTTTTTAAACGATGCAAGGCGTAAACACAAGATATATTACAAGAAAAAAGAAAAAAAAAATCTCGAGGCGTGCGAGTTTTTTTTTTTTTTAATGCTATTTTTTTTTTTTCAGCTCCTCACTTTTTTTTATTTGTGACATAATCAATTATGAAATTTAGAAGCTTTGTAAGTGGCATTTCTATAATATTTAATAGCTTTATTTGTAAAACATGTTTTTTAACGCAATTTCACATGCACTACGCCCTTTCTTTTGAAATATTGAAAATTGGAGTCCTAAAGTGATGTCACCTCCTGGCTTTTTATCCGACACTGTTAGTGCGAACATGACATTGGCACATTTTTGCGTTTTACTTCTCAATAGTATTAGCGAGCATGAAATTTAATCGCTTACATTATAGAACTAAGGTAAATTTGCTCTTTCCATAGCAATAATAACTTGGATGACATCCCGTGGTTTCAAACCAGCGATCGCTGGTTTGAAACCACGAAATCACTGGAAAAACCAGTGATTTTGAAATCACTGGAAGTGAAATTGAAATCACTGGAAAAACCAGCGATCGCTTGTTCGTGCTAACAGTGTCGCGCTCTGTACTTGTAGCAGTGAGGAGGATCGGGGAGCCGGGGAATTGGACGAAGCTCTCTATGTTTGCTAGACTTACCTCTCGCCTTGGGCGTTTTGCATCGCGTGGTGTGACCTGCTGCGGAAAGTTTGTCGGAACGACAAACGTCTCAGAGCAGATTGAGGCTGGTGTCGCAACTTTCGGCAACACCAGCCTCAACCGAGGTACCATTTGAACCCCCAACACTCTAGAGACGTTTGGGCTGACCTCATAATCCTCGTCGACAAAGTATTAAAAACAAATAAAGGACTTCGATCAGAACCCTCCAGAAATTGCAGCTAGCCAGGCTGCCTTCTCCGACGCATTCTTCAAGAACCTGTGCATATAATCGGCTCCGGGTCACATGGCCACTTGTTCGATTTTTCTCAATTTTTTTCTGCAACTGCCGTTGCATGGAAAGAAGAAAATTGTGCTTCATAGTTTATAAATGTTGAGAAGAAATATTAAGCTGTATTTATTGAAAGTACAAGAGATGTTGCATCCCCCCTTTAATACCTGCATGCCTCCAACCTAGGACATTTTTTTTGCACTGTATTTTTCAATACTAAGTACGCTGAAAAATGGGGCTTTGACCTCGCAGCCTGAGGGAATTCTTTTCGGGTGACCTTACCCCGCAATTTCTTTATTCAGAACTGTAACTCCCTCATTTTCACAGTCGTTGGATTCAGAGTTCATTAGTGATTTGCAGATCTCCGTGTCTGCCATGAAGTGCGAGGTTGAACGACAAAGAACAAGAAAGCAAACCGAAACAGAAATTGCCTAAACGCAAATCTCACTTGCCAAAAACAGGCAACACGATGAGACAAAAATGAAACCCCGTCACGAGTACACTTGGTTTAAAGGGTTAAAGTGTGACTGCTTGCCTATATTTATGTTTTGCTCCATCGAAAGAAGGTTTTGGCGGCGATTCCTAATGCCCGTCCTTTCTTCTTTTCCTTTCTAGGTCTTCAAGGGTGTTGCAAAACACTTCGACTGCCTCTAGACTCTGTAGCCGGCTTCATCGCTTGTGTATAACCTCTGCATCTGGATGGAATTGTGGAAGCTGAATATGCACAATTACTGAAATTCTTTTTTTTTTTTTGGTTCGCTTTGTTTTAGTTTTGTTTAACATGCCAAAAACCTTTTCTTTTTGAATTTTTTACATGTGCACTCTTCGGCTAAAGCTTTCGGTGTGTCATTGTCAAACCCAGGAACTGCATTTGCTGCGTGGCATTGAGCCCTTGACCTTTGAATCTTTTCGCTTGCCCATACAGAGTTTATATTTTTTAGCGGGCTTTTTAAGCCTTAAGTTTTTGGAATGACTATACATCTAAAATGTAGTATAATTTCTATCTGAATGACTGCATTAGTGTAGAATGTTTTCAGGAATTGTACTGGACGGTAATTTGCGAGTGTCAAAAATATTGAAGACTGGCCTCCATACAGAGTGTTTCTTTAAAGCTTTACAGATTTGATTAAAAAAAAAATCCGTGAAAGCTACACTTACGCAGTTTTAGCAGGTGAGTTATATGGCCAGGGGGACATAGTATAGAGGGCTAACCGTAACGATGGGTCGGCCATTCAGAAACTTGCTAAGTGTCATTGAAAACCACTAAGTCAACTGTTTAGGAAGATATAAGACAGGGGCAGCATTTTGGGGCGTTCTGTAAAAACGCTTGATTTCGGCGCATTTCTAGGTTTCGGATTTTTATCGGGGCACATCTCTGCGCCCACGGTCCTGCTCCCCAGTGGCTGAGACACTCATCACGCGTACGCCATACTTCTCTCCACCCTGCAAGGGGGGCAAGGGGGTGTCTTTGCATCTCGGCCATTGGGGAGCAGGACCGCGGGCACACAGATGCGCTCCGATAAGAAACCGAAACCTAGAAATGCGTCCAAATGGAGCGTTTTTACTGAATGCCGTAGAATGTTGCCCCTGTGTTATATCCTTCTAAACCGAGTTGATTTAGTGGTTTTCGATGACGCTCAGCAAGTTTCTGATTGGAACCACATGTCTATTTTCACTAATTAAAAAGTTGATTAACAAATTTTACTTAATTAGCTGACTGATCATTACAAATAGCCACATATACTTTGTCCCCCTGACTGTATAACTCACCTGTACAAACCGCATAAGTGTAGCTTCAGTGGCTTTTTCTAAAAATAAATCTGTAAAGCAAAAGCACCCTGTAAATGAGTAATACGACATTGATTGATATTTCAAGACCAGACATCGACAACTATAACGGAACAAATCATGGAGTACTTACCGTGTTAAGGACGCTATTTATTACAATAGAAAATTTTTTCTACATTTCTTGTTTAGCTGCTCCTAAATTTGTTCCCCAAAGTAATGTAACAGTATTAATGAACATTTGGGAATCAAAATTTCCCGATAAAATAGTACTGTCAACCAAAATAGAAGTTCATACAATGTGGAATCACGTGAATAAACCACACGCCCCTTTCTCCCATGCTGCAAAGGCTGCACGCATAAGCCCTTAGTCTCAAAATGTATATGCGCACTTAGAAAGTCCTCGAGCAGTTGGGGTACTTTCCAATGCTTCGAGCTTGCAATTGCACATGCACGCCGCACATGCGTTAAAATGAATCGGAGTGTACAATTTCTTTAGTTAATTGAGATTTCCGCTGCAGACATCACGAGATTAGGGTGCAAATTTCGCACCTTAGGTTTTGTGTTTGTAGTTACGGTGACTGTCCCCGTACTTTGCGACGTAAAATAAACACTCGCTATTTTTGCATAACGAGTTGCGACGACATCTCCCTCATAGCTGTTGTGCTAATTACAGTGGTCGGAAAGGGCTGCTTCAGTGCTTCCCTTAACTCACCTCTTAGTTTCAGTTCATAGTGCTTCGCAGGAAGAATGTGATGTAGCAACATTACCAGATAAAGTTGGTTGACAAGCCTTTTGAACGCCCGCCATCTTTCCGTGGTGCGTCCACTTGGTGGCGCGTGCTACGCCATCAGCCGGAACCGATGTAACGGTCCATACGGAACCATTACATCGGTTCCGTATGGACGGAACCGATGTAACGGTGGAGGCACATTGCCCGCAGCGGAAAGTGATTCTGTTGTGGTTTTTATGGCTAAGATAAAGTTTGTGCAGAAAGAGCATCGTTCGAAAAGGTTTTTCTCTGTTCTCCATGGGAGCGGCATCACTGGTGTGCACTAAAATTGCCATCCGCCCGTGCCTGCCTGTGTGCGGGCGACGGAGAGGGACTGTTTTCGAACGGCTCTTCCATGGAGCTTGTCAACCAATAGATTTAAGAACGTTGTGATGTAGTACATGCCTCATATTGAGTTGACCTCCTTTCCCTGCTCACTTAGAAGTTTCCAGACCTGCGTCAAAATCCTGGGACCCCCGATAACAGTGGCATAAAGCGAGACTTGTAATTCTTTGCTTCAAAGCTTTATATTTCCAAAAGTTTCTTGGTTACGAAAGGAAACCTATTTACGAAATTGTACACCGAAACTCGAGGTTTCACGCAGATTCTTAATATGCCATCGGACATTAAATATCCTCGCTAGGTCCCGCATTACGGGAAACTGATCCGAATATGCCTTCCCTGGAATCGTCAAGGTGCATCAACGATCTATGCTATGGTCAGATACAATGTAAGAAATACAGTGCGAGGGAGAAAAGGGCAGAAACTAGGAAAGCTGAAGTGGCTTTTTTTGTGCACTTCATTTTCCCTTTCGCACTTACTTTATGTTGTATGCGACCATAGTGCCCCAAAATGACCAGCGAAAATCGGCATGCAGGTGTTTGGAAAGTTTGCATACAAAACACTTACCAGATGGCTGCTCAACCAGGCTGCCTGCCTCTGCTCAAACCTAAACCCCTGAAAAATTCCTCTTTCACGGCCTCTATCCACGTTCTCGGACAAACCGAGCAGGTAGAACACACATGAAAACTGACTTTCAAAACTTTTCACTCTTTTGGTACAGGCCCAGTCGCTGCGTTTTGACGAGAAGGCGTGTTTTTGTCTGGTTTCTTCCAAAACAACGCAGGAATGCACATCCCGCATGGCAACTTCCGCCCACAGCCCCAGACCGGAGGTGCGCCCGATGCACCATCACCGCGTTGTGATGTAACCCGGGTGACCAGCTCCAAGATTTACTTATACTGCTATGAAATTCGATTTTTGTGGCTCCTGAGCTTCTTCAAAGCAGAACTTTTACTGCTCCAAAGGGTCATCTTTGCTGCTTCCAGACCTGTTGCAAAAGGCTGAAGCTTGCTTTCACCCCTGCACAAGCTTACTGACACTGGTGGCACCCAGGTATACTTGCACAGACTATAGTAATCCCTGGAGGAGGGGAACAAAGGACAAACAGAAATCTCCAAGCACAGCTAGGTGATTGGTGCTCGACCGAAAAAATCTGCCTGGTCCTGTTATCGAATGAGTGACCTCTCCATTCCCAGCGAAGGGCTATACCAACTGAAATAAAACCTTCAACCATGTGTTATCTTTCTCGATTCTTACTGCAACTTATACACAAAGTGGAAATCTTGAGCTAACACAAAGATTTCCACTTTGTGTATAAGTTGCAGTAAGAATCGGGAAAGATGACACATGGACGAAGGTTTTATCTAAATTGTTTTTGCCATGGCGCCACTAAACGCGGCGACATAGCAGAGGGCTTTACCTTCTCCCGTAAAGCCCTCTGCTCTTTCCACATTAGCAGAGTGAAAGCTTGGGAGAAGGTGAGTGAACTCTCCTTCCCTCTCCCCTCCTCTCCAGTGTGCGGTCTGCTGAAGGAAAAAGAGTGAATGGCTTTGCGGGAGGAAATTGTCCCACTTTTTTTAACCCACAACGGGGTATAGTAGTGTTACCCTCGCGTGACGGTGAAGGGCAAAAGCAAGAAAACTTTTTGCCCCCGAATAAGTACTTATAAGTATAGTTTGAGCCTGGTAAAGGCTCGCTGATACACTTGCGTCTGCTCAGGACCCAGTTCTTGCAATCTCTTGCGACGAGAGAACGCTCTGACATGCTGGCGCCATCTATGAGGCGACCCTAGAACTGCGTTCCATGAGATTGAAGGGTTTGTGGTATTTGCAACGTGAAATGTATGTGCTACATGAGAAATGATCCTTTGCAACATTGTGAAACATTAAAAAAAAAAATGGAAAAAGAGGATGATAAAAAAGAAAAGGAAATGTACAGAATTTTTTTTGTCGTAAGAGGTTTTAAGTTAGTGTCATAAGCAGTTGCGTGTGAACCAGCCTTTACGCTACAGTGTACTAATGCTGGTAATGCTACCTTTACTCGACAAGAAAGGATGGGAGCAACGTAACTTCCTCGCCGACTTGACAATGTGTTAGGGAATGTGTGGATGAACGAGAAATTTCCGATTTCACCTATCAGCGACTGGTCACCGAACGTATGTATGTTCACTTACGAAGCATCCTTTCCCCTTTTTCACCGTTACACTTGGAACTTTATGCTACGACGTTTTAGTCGGTAATAAGCGTTATATTTTTAGATATATTACGAACCACAGGAAGCTATAAAAAGATATTGTTTTTTTAGAAAAGCAGTTTTCTTGCACATGGCAAGTTACTTTACTGTTTTATACTTGTGTACAGCACCGTCAAAGCTGCTGATGCGAGCATGGGGTTTGATCACGCAAATCAGTTTCACGTGTTCTCGCACAAGCAAAACCCAAGAAGTCATTCGCTCGCGCAAGTAGCTTTAATGGCGTTGTATATTAAGTATGTATAAACGGAGTATGGTAGATATTCCTTGTCTTGGTTATAAAAGTTCTTTATTTTCAGGATTTTTGTCTCTCGGAATTCTGAAAGGGGAGGTAAATAAAAAATAGGATTCACTTCAGACCAACGTTTGGGGCAGGATTCCTGTGAATTTCACGATGCGGTGCATGTACAGCTAAATGCTTGTTTTAAACTGTGCACTTTGTTGCTCCTGCGACAATTATAAATATAATTGCAGCGGGGCAAGTTTTACATCTGTGAGGTATAAAACATGCAACATACCCGTTATCTTAGGGGCTAAAGAGGAAGAAAATGTGTGTATTGTAAAAACGTTCATTGTGATGCCGCCTTCTGGCCTGAAGGCCTCGGAGTAGGCGGGGGGAAAGGTTGAAGGGAAGTGAAAATGACGATGATTAGATGAACCTACCGATCCCGAAAGATCGGAGGAAGTCGATGAGAGATGTGTAGATGACTTTTTGTTCATTCAGAACGGCGGTCGTTGGTTTGGTCCACACTGTGTGGGAGCAAGGCCGCATGTGGTAGAGGAGGTTGCGGATGTGGACAGCAACTATCGAACTTCGACTTTTTTTACCCAAGCATCAAGAACCCAATTTACAAATACTAATTTTATTGCCTCTTTTTCTTCTTTTTACAAGATCTGCCAATGCCAGGTTTATATACGCAAGGCACCTACGCTTGTAATTTAAAAGGACGGAGACGTGCCCTAGCATTAGCAGAAAACCAAGCCATTAAAATGGAATATCGGAGCTCCCTTGACAATGCCATTTGCCGCTTACAGTAGCACCGTCTGCGAAAAAAGGACAGAAAAAAAAACATCAAAAAGCAGTGGTATTGTTTTACCGTTTATAATCATCAGCTTTCAGAAAGGTATGCTCGTGTCCTGCCATTCCAGCACGAGGCTACTGGTCACCAACGAAAATACGTCCTTCCCTCGAACAGCATTTTGGTGAAGTGGCTACTAATAAGCTAGCAAATGCAGCACAGTTGACAGTTGCAGTATTCGAAATATGGTCTATAGAGATGTGTAAGTCTACATCACTTATCAGAGGCCAGAGATTTAACACGAGTGTTGCGTTGGTGGCTATACGTAGTGCCAAATCAAGTAAGTTCACATATCCTTAGAAGTTTCATTTCTTTTGTTCGGAACAATTGGAGGAATCTATATGGAAGACAGTTCGGTAGTTTTCCTTACTTGGGGGAAGTAGAACATTGTTCCTAAACACGAGGCGGTCTTTCTTAATGCTTTACAGATCTTGCTGAAAAAAACTGAAACTACACTAATGTGGTCTGTGCAGGTGAATTTTATGGCAGGGGCACATAATATAGGGGGATGATTATCTTGATAAGTCTGTTAACTAAAATTTGTTAACATGAATGATTAGACAGCATTAGTGCGTTTTCACACCACTAGCCTTGCGCCTGTTGCACGAGTGCTAACTTTAGAGCACCACCGCACTTCCCATGTGCCCCAAACTGTTCCAAAATCTATTTAGTGGTTTTCAATGGTACTTGGAAAGTTTAATTGGAACCATATTTTTATCTTCAATAATTAAGAAGCTCATTAACAAATGTTGGTTAATTAACCGACTTATCACGACAACTATGCTCCTTATTATGTTCCCCTAGGCGTATAACTCGCCTGGACAGACTGCATTAGTGTAGCTGTAAGGCCTTAAAGGGCAACTCTGCTTCATTTTTGATATTTAGAAAACTATATAGCCCTCTTCAGTATCATATAGGAAGACACCATGTCAAATATTACGATCTAATTCCGTCCATATATTTAAAACTGGCCAGCAAACCTTCAAGTGAGCCAAGTCGCCGAAATCTGCCAACTCTAGCGTGCGACGTGAGGTGCAATCGTCAGCGCAGTCAACGCGACGGAGTTGAGCGGCCAACGTTGAGCCACTACGTCAGAGGCATGACTACGTCATTCTCACGTTTTGTTTGTTTTTACTTCTTGGAGCGAAATAGAATGATTACGTCGCGAGTTTCTCCTCCCGGTGTTGGCTGACCGGGCGTCCACGTGATCACTGGAACGCGGATGCGCTAGTTTGCGCTGCCCTGTGCGCTTATTGGTTTGTTTCTCCGCTCCCCTTCTCCTCTTTCGTCTTCTCCCCTTCCCCCTCTCCCTTGGGCCATCACCATCCACGCCACGCGAAGCGACCTGCCTGCATCGCGCGTCCTGTCCCTCGCCCCCTCCCAAACGTCACAAGACCACGTGGTTCGACGTGACGTGGCCATGACTCTGACCACACGAGACCAATGTTGCCTGACGCAACTGAAATTTTGGTATCAGCTAATGTTTAAATTAGGATTACACAAATAATATTCCACATTTCACGAATCCGAAGACGTAGAGTTGTTTAGTAGTGCTTTGTGAAATGGAATCACATGCAAGCTTAAAGTTTTCGGAATTGAGCGGAGTTGCCCTTTAAAAGGAAGCTAGACCAGTTTTGTATTTGAGGAAACTCTTTTAAAATAATGTTAATTTGACCCACCAGGGTCTAAGATATCGAAATTATTTTTTTTTAATTTGGTGCATGGAGGCAGCAGAAAATTGCTTTCAAGGTACCGCTCAAGGCCCTTCTTCCCGGGGTGCGACGTCACAAAGAGTTTTCGGAATCTCCCCTCTTGCGCATCTTCTGCGCCTGTCAAAGCTGTGAACGCACACTCTTGCTATTTTCAAAAAAGGTCAGAAAAAGACGTCGCGACTGGTGTCAGTGCGGGGGAACATGCCTGGCAAGAATGTTAAGTTGGGCTAGTTGGTTCATGACTGGAAGGAAGCACCGAAAGACAGGGACAAAAGAAGTAGGTAACGACGACACGAGGCGCCTTGTGTCGTCGTTACCTACTTCTTTTGTCCCCGTCTTTCGGCGCTTCCTTCCAGTCATGCCTGGCAAGCTTGCAATTGCGCACGCTGCCCACACAACAACATGCGCTTGGGGTACCAAAGAGCCCCTTAAGATGTAACGACTGGTCGGGGGTTTCTCGTGTTGCATTACATCTTCAGGGAAAACAAACATTATATATTCACGGGATAAAACTACACTAGAATCAACCTCTACCACATCTTTTGAAAGAAGTGTTTCAGCTTCCCTTTAAGATAACACATATATGTGGCACTACTACTTTCCAAGCTGCATTCGATTCTATAAATTGATACCGCCAAACCTTCCCTACTCCTGCCAGTTCTGATATGGGCTGGCATTGTACTGGTGTGCATTTGTGTAATCACTACTGCACGATACACGTCAAAGACGTTAGCGGTTGTACTGCAATAGTCAAATTATGTCCACACGTTTTGGGCAGACCGTCTCTCCACGGTATATATAACCAACATTCACACAAATGTTTGTGTGTATCCTGTGGTAGAGTCACAAAATTTGGTACAGAAAGAATTCATTGTGAGGTATATTTTTTTATTAAATAATAGACTATGTACAGCATGCGTCGCGTCCCCTCCATACAGACTAATAACAGCAAAGATCTGTTTCTCCGTTACTAGGTGCCAGTCCCTTGACTGCAAGAAACAATCTTCTCTCCGGAACATTATCCTCCAGATACCGAAAGACACCACAATGGAAACTTCCCTTATTTCCACGACAAAGTTCTTTATGCTATTTACAAGATGCCGAATCGAATCGACAAATCCCGCGTGTCGGATTGCATCTCTGACTTGATCCAAAGATAAGACAATTAATTGCCCTCGGGGCACAATTTCTCGCTTCCAAGGGTAAATGCGATCCCCAAAACAAGCCGAGAGCGAACCAACGTCAAAGCCAATCCTCGACGGGAATGCGGCATTCTTGAAGAAAAGGTGAGATGCCGGCGACCGACATAGCGTTTCACACGGAGTGCAGCCGTCGGACCCTAACTCTAGCGAAGCATACGGTGTGTGTTTAGAAGGGCCCGACCATTCGTTTCCACCAGAAAAAGTAAATCCAATTCCCAAAACAAGCCGACAGCAAGCACATGTCGAAGCCAATCTAAGACGGAAATGCAGTGTTCTTGAGGACGCCGTTAACTGACGGCTTATTTTGCACACGGCGCAACCGCACAACTGCTAACTCTCGCAAAGTGTACAGCATGCGCCTACGAGGGGAAGAGCACTAGCTTCCACCAGAAGGGGTAAATCAAGTCCCCAGAGCAGGCCGCCGGAAGCCGATCCAAGACGGAAACGCGGCTCATTTCACATAGAGCGCAGCCAACCTTGGCGAAGCGTACAGCAAGCGCCTACGAATGACGGCAACTAAAGACGGAGCCTCTCTGTGATTTGGTCAGAGGAGCGAAGGAGCCTGGCAGGTCGGCGGCGGAAATTTGGCAGTGGGCTCGAGGAAAGCGGACGTCGGAAGGAGGCTAATTTGGGTTTTTTTGTTTCTTGGGCCGGAGCCTCGCCTTCACCACATGTTGTAGTCGACTTCGTCGTTGTCGAACGCCAGGAAGAAGCCCAGGATGGTGATGAAGACGACCAGGTTGCCTGCCAGCACTAGGCCACATGCGCTCCACTGGATCTAGAGAGTAAGAGAAAAAACTTCCTCTTTAGACCATCCCACTTGTAAAAATCTGCAGCTTTCTGACACAGTCTGCAAAGAAGCAATGGCATGTCCACTCTTCATTTACTTTATCATGCACAACACAGCCTTCTGGTCACTGAAGTATGCCAAAAAGGGAACACACTGCACATCCGAGTCAACTAAATATAATTTCGACAACCACCAAAATGGAAAGAAGATGTTGGTCTAAAGAACCTTCAAATACTTTCACATAAAGTAAAACTATGGTGCCTGGAATGCATCTTCGACTGGTTCGTCTCTCGATTTCTACCTCGTGACATCACCGCAGGCACATTCAGTCGTTGGCCGTGGTCCTGGTGCTTTATTTCTTTCTCTCGGAAGATACGCAAAGCTAGAATAAAACACTAGTTTGGTGGCGTACCGACCTAATTTGCCAAAGTGTTATACAAAAAAGGAAAAAAAAAAGACTCGCATTCAATCTGGGAGGGCACGCCTCATTGTCGATCTGTCGCTCGTGTTCAATCTGTGCCCAGTGCTGGTCTTTAGTGGGCAACGTTCAAAACCCACCACCACAAACTTACCATCTATTGGGAGCATGCGACACGCATTGGGGGCGTGCCGCTCTGTCTTGGCAGCTGGTCGGCAGTGCCACCACGTTACGTCGCATAGTGAAGTGCTGCCCGCTTCGTCCTATTCCAATGCTCCTGCAGCGTCCTCGCCGCATCCATGCCTTCACACGGCCGTATTTCTCGGTCTAGCTTTAAAGGGTTGGCACCTCAACATTCGAAATTTATCCATGCCCAGCATTGCTCTGCATGTGTTTTCTACCATTCAACCCGCGGGAGTCGTTCGAAGCTCGGGTTCAATCGTCTGTCCCGCAGTTGTTAGCGGCAGCAGATTGTTATGCTCTTCGTTTATCTGTGCAACAAGGTGCCTCTATGAAGCGTCCGTGCGTTGGACGGTTCGAAAAGCACTACGGGACGACATTCGTCAGTGCTAGTAAGTGTTAAAATCTATGCGAGAAGTCTTCTTCATACCTCTTACTAAAGTGCCCTTCGCCCACCGCTGAATCGAGTGGACGCAGCAAGATTTAGAGGATTGCGGTGCTTTTCGACGGCACTCAGAGGTGATTTCTGTTCTCCATTACCGGGTCTCGAAAAAAAAGAGTTAGTGCCGACCGTGGCCCCAAACGATTCGTACAGTGCTGCACTCAGGTACGTCGATGTTGATTAGAAAGGTTGGCCGCCACTTAGGATGTCTGCCGGTCCGGCCCTATTCTATGTGAAACGCCCCCGCTCGGAGTCGGGTCGTGGCACCACTGTCCTGTCGCACGCTTCCAATGGTTGGCGACACTGTGAGAACGGCACGGAGAAGCTTCAGTTGTCGCGTCTCCGGCGCAAGCTCTCTACCTTCGATGACGCGTACGACGCCTCGTGCACTTCGAGTGCGCTCGTGCAGTCAGAGCACTGTGGAAGGCACGGAGCACATGCTCGAGGTGTCCGAAAGACAAGCCCTGCCGTTCTCCATCTGCCGGCGACCATAGGAAAGGCCGTTTAAAGGCCCCGTAAAAGAGCGAGGGTGCGGCACTGACCACGGGGTGCGGCACGGAGGGCGAGCGTGCCAGCACGAGGGGCAGGCCGAAGGCGGAGATGACGATGCCCGTCGTGACGAAGTAGGCCAGCTCCTGGGCGGCCTTCCAGGTCCCCGCATCCTCCTTGTAGCGCCGGGCGATGAGCGAGGGCAGCGGGGAGAGCACGTACATCAGCACCACGAAGAAGGGGTACCAGTTGCTGCGTGGGAGGGCGCCACAGGGGTAAGGGACGCACAGACAGTCATTGTTAAAATATTCCAGAGGGAAAGAAATGTACCACACATTTCAGTGATGGGACCGTATTGCGAGCAATGCTTTGTTGTGTGCGGAGATGTGATAACAAATACACTACTTGCGAGGACTGTATCTACTCCTTTCTAGCTTAGTTTGCTCAAAAAACACCGGCATCGTGCATCGTATAAAAATAAATTAAGTTGAGGATCGCTCAAGCAACTTCAATCCATCGCAGCAAAACGAGCACTCCAAATTTATTGTCTGCTTTCTTTCCCTCGGAATTGCTGGCGTCGGAGCTTATAATTTGCCATGCTCTGCTCCTGTTCTTGCCACGCCCTGGTCGGGGGTGCGAATGCAGTCATTGCGAAGGCCAATGCTAATCCACCCTTTTCCGGACTACCAGTTCGATGGTTTCTTGGCAGGAAACTCCGTGGGCATGGTACGAGTGAACGTGAACGTTCTTTCGAGTGAGAATTCTAGATTCTGTTGGCTCCGTTGAGCTACGGAGACTTAGGTTCAGCCCCCGAGGCTTCACTTTTGTGCCCGTTGTGGTTTACCTTTCGCTTCAAAGCTAGTACAAAGAAGCTTCTACCCTCTGCTTCCTACTGGCATGTTTTCTTTCCTAAGTTTTCTACCAAGATAATCCACTAACAGGAAGCACCATTTCTGTTGAAAGAGGTGCCTCTCATGGAACAAGCTACGATATGGGTTCTCAAGCAACCAAGGTGTTCCCCAGAGTACCCCTCACAGGTTCCCTAAGCTCCCAAACTTCCTCAACCACCTCTGCCCCCAAAAAAGTTTTTTTTTTAACGATTTAAGCATTATTTTAGCAGATTTGAGCGACCCACAGATACATAACTATGAGGCAAACACCAATATGTCAATTATAGTTTGCAAGGATTGCAAGCTTCTGCACTTCGGTGCTGCATCAAGGCCAAGACCGGGACGGGTTCCTTAGTTATAAATAAAGAGAGAGAAGCATTCCTCGAAGCGTAAAAGTTTGAAAAACCCTGAGCTAAGATATCATCGGCAGACTTCTAACATGAGCGAAAAGTGAGATTTGTCTGCTATGAAGTGTCATTTGGAGACAGATGTAAAACAAGGAAACGCCTTTAGGTCATCTGCTAACAGAACCGAAAAAAGATGTCTGTCTGCTACAAATTGAGGACCGCAGCAGAGTGATATTCAGCACTAGCAGATATTGTGATTGTGTGCAATTTCACGTCGGAGGCAATCGACAACCCATACTTTCTTCGCAAATCTCATGTCCTTCTGCTGTTGTACAAGCTCAAGTCCACCAGTGAATGAAGCAGCACTCGTAACAAGTCCATCAGAGGCCACGACACTTTTCTTGCATTTCATGTGTGCGTGAGTTCTCACCAAAATACCTGTCTAATCGTGGACTCCTGAATGGGCCAAAAGTTTCTCATTGGTGGATAACGTTCGATTAACAGAAGGCAGTGATGGCACACCCAATTAACAGCCGAGAAAGCACTGGCTTCCCCCAGGGACCCAAATCGAACTCCGGAGAGACTTTTAAGAAACACCACTTGTCCACATGCGAAATACATTTCATTAGCAAAATTTCTTTAATATGCTAGGGTGTAACCAGCCAACAATAAACTTACAGATTTGTGAATGAGCGGTGCTGAAGATTGTTTGGGCTGCCAAGGTAACGAAATACAGATGAAGTCAAGGTTTAGGGCAGAATGAATGCACAGCTAAGTTTTACAGTGGGTTAGAGAGCACTACTTTGCAACAAGATGCATATATGACTGATGTGACAAGGGACCCTGCTACTGTTGTCGGCAGAACATAAAAACACCCATCGTGTAGGAAGTTTGGCTGAAAATCTTGAAACTTCATGAACAACAAACGAGACAAAATTTTGCATGCCTGTGTTTGGAAAATAAAAGGCACTGACAGAAAATAGGGACGAAAATTCAGAACTACAAAACTGTGGAAACAGTTTTAGCATAACCAGTTCTTCTTAGTTTGCTTACGCAGGGCACTTGTAATGGCAAAAAGCATTGCTTTTGCCTTGTACGCTTTCTTTCTTCTCACTTTATGGTTCCAATTATTGGAGACGATAGGACGGGACAGCAGAGACAATCCTCCGAAGGGGCCATCAGACTGTCTAAAGCCACTGTATGGCAGCTCTAGCTCTCAGAGTAGTGACATGATGCAGAAAAACCTAGGGCACAACATAGGAAGCTACCAATAGTGATCTCCATTTTGGGCCCAAGAGGTTGCCATGGTAACCGTGCTACTATCGGCGCCTGGTGGCCACTCAATTTTCTCACGAATTTAATCTCTCCGCCTGTTCATTGAAAAGTGGTGAAAGTCGGTTAATGCAAGTCAAAGTTGAGGTAAAAGAGTTGTTGAAATAACGGCTTGGGCATATTTGAAGTTATGGGCACCTCTAGAACGACATGTTTACTGTACTCAGGGACGCTCACCTAAATTTTGAACTTCTTGCTACTCAGAAAGTAGCAGGCAACACTGGTATGCCGGCACTATGTAGAGAGGCAATCAGTAAGTTAAAATTTGAAAGAAGACTGGACACAATTGAGGACACACGATAGGCGAGAAAGGTATATAAGCATTTGTACATGAAAAGTTTGAACACTAAATGGATAAACCGAACCAAAAAACTGAAATTAAAATACCAACAGTCAAGTGCGGGGGCAGAACAGAATACCTCTGCAAAAAAGGAAGTAAAGGAAGCCAAGAAAAAGATGTGGGAGAGAAGAATGCAGGGAAAATCGGCCTTAACTATGCATAGGGGACGAAAACGGGAAATAAGGAAGGAACATTGTTATGATAATTCAAAGGGGAGCTCATTATTTGAGGCTAAAACAGGAGTATTGAGGACCGGGACATATAGGAAAAAAATTAGGAAATGAATATGCATGTGCTGTATGCCAAGGAGATGATGAGACAATAAAACATGTGGTGTTGAGGTGCACAAGGCTTGCTCTCCCGGAGGGGGCGACAAATTTAGCCGGAGCGCTGGAGTTTGCAGACGAGAATGGAAGAATGGATGATAATAAGGGCATTTTAATAACAAAGAAGAGATTGGAAGACTGCTGGAGATTATCTAGGGGGAATCGAATAACGTAAATTTAACTGACACAACAGGGGATAGACGGGACGGAGGAAAATTAGGACGCCCTCCCGCGTGGCTCCGGCCCAAAGTCTCCACGCCGTGTTCCAGTGGGCCCACTGCCAGGGTAATGCCAACTAGGTTTGACCAGAGGAAGATTGGCGACTCCCTTGCGGGGCAGGGGGGGGAGAGGCAGGGGGTAAAGTTTTTGTTTTTTTGCCCGATCCCCCGAAGGTCATCCTGGTGATATCCCAGACCGCCTGGTGATAGTTACGAAATTGCGGAGGGTAAGCAAGTTGGTGAAGGAAAGGAATCATACTTTTGGTTCTTAATTTCAAGGCTAGGTGGCACAAGCCGCCTTATATAAAGGGTACAGCCGTTGGCATCCATCCGTACCACTCTGAAATATAGAAACACAACCCTGGCAATTGTCAACATTGTACAATTCGGTTAGTTGTTATGGTAACTGAGCCAGCTCGGCCTGTTGCTATGGTAATGCACATGATGAATCGTTACACGAGGAAAAGCGTGGGGCTACTAAAGCCTGCCATATACAGCGACTCTAGGATTGCCCACGGGTCAAATGACTCTTATTGAGGCTCAAGGCCTCTTAAGGGTAAATACTAATAAATAATAATATAGTAAAATACCGCAGAAGTGCCCACTTTGCTCACGCACTCACTATTAACATTTGCCAAACTCAGGATTTCTGCAAATTATATGTTAATTGCCCAAATTGACCAGACAAGCGTCCATGTCTAGATTAACCCAGTTTTCAGTAAAAATAGGGTGGGCACTCCCCATTATTTTACGGTAAATAAAATTAAGCACTTACCTGGGCTGAGGCAGTGCACACCCGAGAACCAGGAGAGTCATGCCCACCGAGCCGGAGAAGGCCAGGGCCACCAGTCTACAAGGGATTGTTGCAACACAACCAGCATCAGAAAAGCTGCCAGGTTACAGGGTAGGGTACATTCCATAGCTACACTTCTAACCTCCCTGACCATTTCACTAAAAATTCAAAATTCACCGACCAATTTCTAGGAGAAAAACAACTGCAGCTGTATTTCAATCTGTTGTTCGAAACTTCAGATGCAGAACTGCATTTCATGAAAAACGCAGCAGACGTGTTTTTTTCAAAATGTCAACTCGTTCTTTCCTTCCTTCTCTTTCTTGCGACGACACCGAGAATGCAGAAACTAAGGCAAGGAAGCACTGCGCGGAGTGACTCAATCTGTGTTGTCGTCAAGCGAGGCATGCAAACAAGTGCAGTAGGGTTGCTAAGCTTCCGCTGTGCTAGGCCACTGCATGTAACAGACGCTTGCAAAATCTAAATTAGTTTCGGTAAAACTGCAATAGACCCTTTTCAAAAGCGCACTCCATCTAGTAGCTGGTGAGTCAGTTATCCGAGTCTGCCGTTGTTAGTGCACATATTCTGATCACGTATTGGACATGAGGACTGTGTCAGGATTGGTGCGAACTCAAATCAGTTCTTATCAAAAGCGAGTACAGCCTCAGCGTTCGTCGAAGACTTGAACCCAATCACACGCTTCGTCCCCGAGAAATAGCGACCGCCAGTGTTGCTTGATGGGGTTTAGAAAGGGGTCTGTTCTACACTAAAAATGTGGTCCATTGACGATGACGACAACGGCGCACTACCTTAGAATGTAACCCACAATGGGCTCCGTAAATTATGAGGGTTTTGCAGAGGCTTCATTAGTACCTGCAAATATGATTATTGGGCAAGTTTTTATAAGAAACTGCAAAAACACAAAGTCATGTTCGAATCTTCTGACCGCAGACATCGACAGAAGCGTCCCGTGGTGTAGTTCGGTTATGGAATGGCGGGAAAGTTGCTTGTGTAGAGCACAAAAAAATAATGCTTCTTTGCAAGATGCCAGCGGCACTCGAAACATTGAGTACACTGCCGACAGACTTGGTTTGATTATGGACAGAATGCTCTGTGTGAACCTGTTCTTACTAATGATGCAAGCTAAGCAACAATGGTCCCACAGCACAAGCTGAAAAGACGAAACCTTCCAGAGTTAGCGACACAAGCAATGCTTTCACCGCCATGCAGCAAACAAAAGTTACCTAGCTTTTTTTTTTTTTTTTTTTTTTTTCTGCCTTTGAAATGTTAGTATAGGCATAATTACGATTTGTTTTCTCAAGTGCCTCATCTACTCATGCGATTGCCACAAACCCAAAGCTGTTGGCCGCATGCTACAAAGAGCTTTCAATTCAATTAATTTCAAATTCTACGGGAGTTTTTTGTTCTGGTGTGAATAGCTGTATCTAACATTAATTTAGGCTATATCCATTGCCTCGTATTTTTTGTGCTAATCATTTGTAGTGGCCTAACCACCTCCGCTTGCGACACCCACGCTCGAAAACGAAAAATATTTCCGACTTTTAAAACGAATCTAGAAGAAAAATAAGTTATCTCGGCAGAATCGGTACCTCAAAAAAATTTCACGGAAGAATTTTTGCGTGAAAATCAGTTCGCAAGGTTCAGACTCTGTTCAGAGAAGTCAATACTCACGCTGACATGGTTCCAGAAGACGGGCAGATGGTCGGAAATGGGAAAGTTTGAAAGAAAAAAAAAATGGAAAACAGCAGGTTAGACAAAGCTAACGTATTAAAACGTGAAAACGGTTTTCCTGACTGTAAACTATGCTCGCAAGTTGTTCAAGGGTTGCGCTATGATTCAATGACAGTCAATTCTATTGCTCGGCATCCAACTCACTGTCTCCTCCAAGCTCTAGTTTTAAAGATGTTTATTTCGCTCAAATGGGAGACATACCCTTCCACGCCTCGACCATGACAGATTAGATGAATGACCGAAATAGCGTCGAAGGAAAAATCGCCAAGGAATCTTGCGAGTTGAGAAGGTGAACACCTAACACTCAAGTAGCGATACGCCACAAAGGGCTTAGAATCGCGTTCATTATCTTTACGTTGCATCATCCGTGGCTATCGTATCAATAGCCAGGCAATAACGGAACAATGCGACTGAGCACAGATAGGTAAATTTTTATTTTGACACCGCAGATAAGAAAACAGGAAAGGAAAATAAAAAGAGCGTACCTTTGATGCCCGCCATGATGATGGTACTGCCGAATAGACATATCGCAGTTAATAAATATTGAATTAAACCCTAATCGTACAAAATTGTATCTATACTTTTAACTATACAATTTTTATGTAAGCTAAGTAGATTATTTGTTTGTTTTGTTTGAAAATGTTGGTTTAATGTTGAGATTTTTGCTGCGGTCCTTTAATGTCGTGTCGTTCATTCGGTGGCATTATTCCACTTTGGTGTGCACTCTGTTGGTGTGTAGTGGGGCTTGCAATTTTATTTCAAGTCGGCGCTCAAGATTGAAGACAAAATGGCAGCGAGTAAATCAAAGTGAGTCCCATATTACGTACCTTGTTTACAAGTGTGGGCCATCGACGTGAGGAAGGCACGGTTTTTCCGCTTCAAACGACACTATCAACATCTTGGTTAGGCTTAATTGCCGGCTTCTAATTTGTACAAGTCATGCTCGGTGTTTGGATAGTTCGCCCTTATTCGGGCGTTTTCGGGTTTACTCGTGCGGTTTTCACCGAGGTTCACGACAGAACCGTGTCGCTGGTCATTAGTTCAGTCAGCGTTGAACCAAACCGCTGCAGCGGACGCTGTGATGACGCATCACAAAGTGCACCGATGCGATCTCCATTGAAAAGGAAACGAAGCGCCCTTCGCTTACGGGCGATGTTATTAGACGTAATCCTCGGCTGAATCTAGGACTGAAATTAGTCGACGTGTCTAAGCGAGTACGTCGAGTTCTTTGCTCGCTCTGCGGTGTCCTCGCGAGCGCAATGATCGTGAAGCTGACGACATGCCACGGTTGTGAAAAGTTCGCGATCATCATGTTGGCTCATCTGTGAGGACGGTCAAGTTTACGCCAGGTTGGAAACGCAGTTTCTAACCTTGCGTTTAATCGTTTACGAATGCCCCTACGAGTCGTCGAGGAAATCGGTCTTTGTGGTCGTGCTCGGGGTAATCAATGGCGCAGGTGTGGAGAGTAGCGAGCGCTTGGGAACAATGATTCAGCAGCTTGCTTTGTGAGGGCGACGGCACTCCTCAGCCTAGCCTACCTACGTTTTTTAAAGAAGCCATTTTTGTGTGCGATTGCGGGATGTGCGTTGCAGTTGCTCGTCTAAAACGTTGTGTGATAAACTTCTCGTTTCAAAGAGTATTGCTTTTTAGCTAGAGAATTTTCGAGTGTAAACTGGAAATGGTAATGCAAGTTTTCTTGGCATTTTTTGTTAACAAAGTGACCAGTCTTTTGTTGGCGTTTCCCATGACCTACATTGTGGTTTGTTATGACACCTGACGATTGATTTGACTTTCTCAGTGCACCTTTTGCGTGAAAGATAAAAAAAAAAATAGCTGAATTTTATGGAAATAAATTAATAGTCCCGTTCTCATTATTTGTTTCTTTGTATTACTGTTTCAGATCCGGGTAAGTTGACTTTTTGTTTCAGCTGTTTAGGAAAGCATGGTAGTGTGCACCTTTACGCTTGGTAGCCTCGATGCACCTGCTTTGCATCACGCCACACTGATTGTGTCCAAGTTTTGTGTGACCACCTGGTACCTCACATTGCCCTTTTGTTTGCTGCTGATTGTGCAGCTTGTGCTTTATTTATTTTGCACCATTGAAGTAATTTTTCATGATAAGCTCTGAGAAAACTATGTCCATGACTCCAGTAGGCCTCGTGGAAGACACATTAACACAAGTAATGTGTTAGCCTCAAATATATAAATCAGTGCTGCTAATCTTGGGTGGCTCCCACTAATTATGCCCAAATAAATCCTGGGATAGATTTGTGCCTAAATAGCACTTGCCTTGAAGTTAAACCATTGTAAAAATTTTGAGAAAATAGTGTCGGGCACTTCTGTTGGTGGTGAAAAGCTTGGGAGTAATGTTTTTAAGGTTTCGAAGCTTGCCGAGAATGTCTGGTATTGGTATTTGTGACGTGAACTTGGCTTACAGTAAGCTCGTTCTCAGTTTCTCTCTTGGGAAGTCTAGCATCGAGGTCGGTCGACTAGAAAGGAAAACACTGTCCAAGGCACTTTGCTGGGGTGACGTACCGACTCATCGCTGATAAATGTCCATAGGAGCATGTGCAAAAGCCCATTTTTGGAGAAGCAAAGCATTACGCACGTTTGCGCAGAAGTCTCGGAGACACGAGTTGCATACTTAGCTAGCCTTCACAATCTGGTATAAAATAGATGACACTAAGCATGGCATTCTTGTTTTTTCATCTGGGGCTTAATTCTTTATCACTCTTCCGGAATAGCATCAGAGTGATAAAAATATGTAGATGTGTCGTGCACTCGGGTTTCTTGTAACCAGAAAGATTTGGCAGAAATTCTTCCATGTGTAACTTCTGGGTACAATTTCGTTTTCTGCCCATATCTCTCCGACTTAGGTGTGGCCAAACGCATGTTTCTGAACCTGCATTGTTTTTTTCCCCTGTGCCTCTTACAGTCCTGAGGATTTGGCCACAGCCATCCTCAAGACCAAGACCAAGCCCAACCGGCTTCTGGTGGAAGAGGCCATCAACGACGACAACTCGGTGGTGGCGCTGTCCCAGGCAAGTGGACTGGGACGGAGGGGTTGGATGAGGAGTGTGACATTATAATGGGACCCTGCGCAGAATTTTAATACGGAATTTAAAAGAAAAAGTTCAAATACCGCTAATAGTCTTGTTGCAAAACGTTCGGCACCCTCTGCGGTGCCAAAAATAATGCTGGGAACAGTATGTACAAAACCAGTCGTGGCAGACATGGAAAAACACTGGTAGGGGCAGGCGAGCAACTTCTTCCTCTCTTTGGCATCACGTCATAGGTGCTGTGGGGGCAAGAAGCGTAATGTAGGACTTTGTGTGCTGCTTTTCAGAATTTTCGCAAAAGGTCTTTTGCCTTTTCAGAACTTTGGGACATCAAATGGGGGTACTTGAGGTGTTGAGATTGACAAGATATGTTCTTGGCCGTGCCAATACTACGAGCTTTCCTCGTGTGCCAAAGGCTAGTTGTGCTATGTGGGCACCATAAATTTCCGCGTATGCATTGCTTTTTCTGCACAGCTATGATTAGAGCAAAGAAGCAAAAGCTTCTTTGCTCTAATCGCTCTAATCGTAGCAAAGCAAAAGCAGCCGTACAAAAAGACGTGCTTGTGGCGTTTTCCACTTATTCTTCTTATACTGTTGTAGTTTTCCTTCAGCTATTTGGAAGAGGAGAATAAAATATTTCCATTGCAATAAGAAAAGTGTCTTGACACCTCAAGACACTTTTCTTATTGCAATGGAAATATTTTATTCTCGTCTGGTATCTACACACTCTTGGATTTGTGGCAGAAGAGAAGTGTTTTGCTGTCTGTTAGGTGCACACGCACATTTGCCTAAGTAAAATTGTTTGTTTAAGACATGTTTTAATGGTTTTTCCTCCACCTTGACCTTGGGTCACTTGTGGGGATGATGAGGGGAGAGATGAGGATGAAATGTTTAAAAATAGTGCTGGGTACTGGCTTCTTGAATCAACTTTAGGAGAGAGTCCAGCACAATCTTCCTGTGCTGTATATTGGCCTTTGGCCACGTCCACTCTACAGGAGTTTTTGGTCGATGCAGCGAGGAGCTCGTAAACGGTGGCCCACCTTGAGCGTACAGTGGCTCTGCACTCTCAGAGATCTATTGTAGTTTCTGGTTTCTTGCTCCCGCATCGAGTACAGTCGCCAGTTCACCATCAGGATCTTGGGAGACCAGGTCTGTCAGGGCTTTGCGGCTCCTCGTCCTTACCAGGGACAAAAACTCGTCGGGGTTGAAGAAGAGGACATCATTTTCGCCTCCTCGACTTTGTTCCTGTTGATCCTGGTCTGGTCTCGCAGGCGCAGCTTCAAGTGCCGTTGTGGCAGCATTGTCGGCCTCTTCGTTGCCATATATGCTGGAGTGTCCCAGCACCCATCCAATCCGAAGGACACGTTTTTCATCTGCAGCTTGTTGGCCTAGTTCTCGCAGCTGTCGGACGGTGTTCCTATAGGTGCTGACATCGCATTCTGTGTGCCTGCCTACTGTCAGTGGAGACCCACATATGTTTAAGTCTAATTATAGGAAACATTCGAATTGGCGTGTATTTTTCTCCATAGAAATGTGTTGCCACTAATCCAAACTTTTTTGCACTACCCCAAAATTTGTTTTTTCAGTGTCTAGATAGGTTTTGCTTATCACAAGGGAAATTTTTCAACAATTTTCAACACAATATTTCTGCTCTAAAATGCAATTTAGGTGGAAGTACACTCTGCCCATGCCCCACTGTAGACCCAATCATTAGTACTGGATTGGCTTGGCTGCTCGGCCGAGCACCGTACGCAAACCTGATGCCTCCCTCTTGCGACCTCCGGCGCTTCTAATCTGACAATGTCTGCTCTTGTGAGAGCGGCGGCACATTGGCGTCCATCGTCTGCTACACCGCCTACCACAGTCTGCAGTGTCCACAAGACACAACCTTGAAATTGGCAGTCCATTCATACACGAACCACTGTCCAATGCAAGTGTCGGTCAGCATTTTTCAGTGCACCCTAACAAACACATAAAAGTACTTAAACAAAGAAATTATAAAAGCAAAATAAATCTGCTGTCTTTTCAGCTTTTTTCTTTTCTTTCGTGATGTCCGCAAGCAAAGCGGGTGAGCATCACAACGCACTATCAAAGCACTACCTAAAAATATTCGCTTTTGCAAGCAAGGTGTGTTGCTCAAAACTCGAGCTACAGGCCTGGGCAAACCCGATTGCTTCCTGCCAAGTGGTTTGCCCAAACTTACCTGCAGGTATCCTGACGGTACTGAAACTATGATTGCAATCGCGACGCTTGCAGTCCTTCAAAGAGCAGCAGAGCCGCCTTTACGGGAACCGACATCTTTATCATCCAGCAGCAGAACGAGCTTACAAACAAATCAAGTCGGATCAGGCAAATGCTAGGCCTACGCCGAACCCGTTACAAAAACATCCACCCGGGCAACGCGTCTTGAGACATTTATTTGCGACAGTTGTTTGCTGCAAACTACTGTTGGTTGAGATCTTCCTATAAACGTCCATGTGAATGCGAAACGACTCGCTCGTAAAAGTAGACAAGCTGAAGAAGCTACTCGGTGTATGCGACCACTTTCCTCAAACACCGACAGCCGTGTTATCGTTTGAAATCGAAGCATAAGTACTGGTCTCGGTATGTACTTGCAGACGGTAATGATTCTTTCTTCCCTAAAACTATGCCGAACAAAAGATTGTCGCACCACACAGCAACAGATTTTTAACAGACATTTCGCACATCAATAATCTCCAGCCAATTTCAGTTGAGCATGTGCTCATATTAGAAGCACTGGGCGGAGCATAGAGTGGGGCGTACCTCCATCTAAATTGCGTCTCGCAACAAAACTATGGTGCTAACATTTTTGGGCAAAGTTTTATTTTCCGACGTGTGCGTCATACTTAGGCACTTAAAAATGTTTCCTGAACGTTCCGGTTCCCTTTGATGGATCATGTGCATATATGCTGTTGTTGCTCATTTAAAAAAGAGGCGCTTTCTGCGACCTTTTTTTTTTCTTCTATATTTAAGGGAAGTTTTTCTTGTGTTCTCCTAGCGAGCGAGCCTACTGCCACAGCTTTCTTTTCTAGCCACTAACATAGCTTTCATCTCTCGATTCTTGCATAAAATTTACGAATTGGAACTCTTTTTGCGATTTTACAAATGTTGCCTCGAATTGTACAAAATGTAAATTTGACCCGCAACAATTTAAAAACGAAAACTTGCCATTGATGGTGGTACTTTGCACTGCCACAAGAAGGTCGAAAACACTGCTTGCGGAGGTGACGTGTGAACTCGATCTATCTGACGACCACGGATTCATATCCAAACCCGTCGCCTTTTCTAGTACACTCTAGCCGTGTAGTCATGGACCCCGTGAGTCTTGCTGAAACTTCCTTTGTAACAAGTTCCCACATCCGACGTAGGACGCCGGCACTTGTTGGATGTTTATCTTATGTGGCTTTGCAATGCAACGGTGTTTTGAAACCTCGAAAAAAAATACTTCCAGGTGTTTTTGAAATTGTACGCTTCGGACTTCCCTTTTTTTGTGCCGTCCAAGAAGTGGAAAAAGTTAAGACTTTGCGCCACAATTACGTCCAATGGGAACATTTCGCACGGCGGAACAACTGACATTAACGCGTGCATTGCTCCGCATTAACAATGGAGTCACACGCAGGTTGCAGGGCTTGCATGGTTTTGTGTGCCTCGCTCAGACGCTCTTACCGGGTCACTGTTTGCCGGATTATCGCGAAACGGACTGTACGTGATGTCTATTTCGCTGGAGTCACCGAAACGAACGCTGGAAAATGGAATCCTCAATTTGTGCCTGACGAACGCTCGATGCTGCTTTCAGGCCAAGATGGACGAGCTGATGCTCTTCCGTGGCGACACCGTCCTGCTGAAGGGCAAGAAGCGGCGAGAGACGGTGTGCATCGTGCTGTCGGACGAAACCTGCCCTTCCGAGAAGATCCGCATGAACCGCTGCGTGCGCAACAACCTCCGCGTACGGCTGGGGGACGTCGTCAGGTGAGCCTTTTGTTCAGTCGTAGTTCATTCAGTCGTGTAATACCGTAACCGACCAACTTTTTTTTTGCAAGCACCCGCTTTTCACAGATTTTGCGCGTGAGAAAGTATAGCGAAAAATTTAATGTGTGAGCATATCGGCCCATGGTAACGAAGACATGAGATAACGATCTTAATTGAGATTTTTCGTTCCCGTGAAATAACTTAAAAACCCACCCTTTGCGAAATTGGCGTCATATTGAGCTCGGGAAAATGGCCAGTTCTATTACCTGCAAACAGTATTAAATGCCATAGCATTTCTGAGTGAACTTTATGCACCTCCGTATCCTTTGCAAGGTTTGTAACCAAGAAAGCAGGTGGCGTGGCATGCATCTGTTACTTGCCTACTTCAATGGGGCATACAGGGGGTAATGCACCCGGCGAAAGTGATGTGATATACAAGCCTTTGAACGTCAAATACAGTTACTGAGGTTCCTATTTTGTTTGTATGCATTTACTAAGAGAGAAACATTTGGATTGCTCTAATACTTCAACAAATGTAGTTGGTTGGTTGTGAGAGGCTCATCCACATGAAGTAGACGTTAGATCAGAAAGATATTGGCATGTGTTTTAAATGGGGTAGGTATGAATGGCAAATGCAGTTATGAAAGGTATTGATATGTTCATTTGAATTGTAGTAATCTTTTCTTCTTTTGTATTGTATAGGGGGATTGTGTTTCTTGCAGCATAAGCTCTGGAAGATTAGCTTTGGCCTATGAACAGTGTCATTGGGAACATTCTATTTTGATGTAAGGTAACACTAAACTGTCAATATATCTTAGTAAGTCATTCACGAACTACTGCCATTACTGAAACTTGTGTGGATGCTGCCATCTGTTGGTCAGGGATTCATAGAAATTGTTGGCAACGGATACGGTCGAGAAGTTTGGCTCGCTGCATTTTGAACGGGATGTTAAGAAAGCGACGATGCAGTTTCACTTGGTCGGAGACTGTTTGTTTTAGCGAGCAGTCATGTAGGCAAAAGCCCTACTGATAGAACGCTTGCGCTTGCTTATTTAGCTACATTTATCTGTTTGTGTTGGATGGCTTGTGACCCTCGTGACCCCCATGGACAAGTGCTCTCCTGTCTGTGGTAGTTTTTGAGAGGGCAGAGCAAATGTGTGGAAACCTCATCCCAAAGCCAGGTCTGGCAATGCCTGGGCTTTGCAGAAAGCTTTTCCAACATGTGTGGAGAGTACTTTCTGTATAGGGAATGTCATGCGTATCATAGGAACATTTGTAGTTCTGTTTGTTTTTGTATGTGCACGATTTAGGGTACTTGTGTAGTGAAGAGTTGATGTCTGAACTAGAGCCACTGAATAAGCTGTGCTTCAGAGTAAAGGCACTTTAGCCACTATTGGGCTTAAAATCATGGTGGCCAGTTTTCTGAAGCTTTATCTGAAATCCCAGGAAACGCTTTTCCGTCCTTTAGAAATGTTGAAACAGCTTGTGACAGAGAAAGACAATATCTCCTGGGATTCCTAACATTAAAACCTAACTCTGAAGAAGCCACATTTTTAGGGGCGAAGCTCCTGAGGGTCTAGCCTTGTCCGTCCGGCGTCCGTGCTCACATCGATCTTGTGCGCTCACGTGTTCGTGTAAAGCAAAAAAAAAAAAAGAAAGAAAGAAATGTTTGCACAGTTGACAGGATTCGAACCCGTGCGGGGAGACCCCAATGGATTTCTAGTCCATCGCCTTAACCGCTCGGCCACGACTGCGGGATGAGTAGGGGGCTCTGAGATGTGGTAGTAACTCAAGAGTTGGGGATGTCATGGATGAAACGATGTATGTAGCCACTCAACGTCTATACAGGAGAGGGCGCTGCGGTCAAATGCGTATATAATCGCGTTAAACTTTGCATGCATTGGCTCAACGCTTATAGACGAGAGGGCGCTGCGGCCAAATGTTCAAGTGCATATATAACCACGTCCCATACCACACATTCTCTTTCTGACATCAGCACTACCTATGAACAAAATCAGTATCATCAGCACCACCAGAGCTTCGTCCCAATCAACATCATTCACCACGTGGAGATGCGGTCATTTTTTCCTACCGTAACGTGCCAAGAGAGAGACCACCTAAAATAGGAAGTAAATCTGGTCAAAACAAGGAGTGGGCTAACTTTTAATGTGGGATAACAATAAAAAAAAGTAGAAAAAAATGCTAGATTCCTGCGAAACTTGCGATCGCAGCTAGGGGTGATGAACCAAAGACGACCGCCCCTCCCAGTTAGCAACGTTCGCTTAGCTCTCACCGTGCCTAAATAACCCTATTTCTGACAAAGTCACCATTTTCTAAAGCCTTACAGTCACTAGGTGTATGTTATCTTTTGGTGTTCTTGAGAAAAATATAGCAAATTATGCCAAAAATAGGGGGCGGGTTTGTCTCTTTGGGGGTGGGGGCATCTTCAGTGATGGGATTGCTGCACCAAACTGCGCCAAGGGTCTAACCCTGATACATCCTGCTACATTTTGCCAAAATATGGGTAATCTGCGCCCGGCCTGTGCCAAAGTACCAATTTTGATAGCCTTTCAAGCTTGAAGCTAAACTGAGTTCTGCAATGAGCACACGTCAGCTAGGTGGCGCAAGCAGCCGCCCAACACAAAGTACCCTGCATCAGTGGTTCATCCGGTCTTTTTTTTTTTAAACTTTTTCAACGATAAACGCGGGCATGTGCGGACGCTCCGACACTAGCGTGATGGGCACTATCGGGGAAAAATGAAATGCGAACAGAGGAGCGCGTGGCTCGCGGTACAGGCTGCGCCACCTGGAAGTGAACCTAGGGGCGAGGGCGCGTGGCCTACTTCGATGTGTTCAGGCCCCTCGATTGACGCTCTCCCAGCTTCGGCAGTGCGCCTCTCAGTGCGCTGAAAGCTGTCACCGCTATCTTTGCCTGCTCGGCGAGTGCGGCAAGCTGCTTTGCACCGCACGCGCTGAGCCAGCAAAGATAGCGGTGATAGCTTAGAGGCGCACTGTTACTTAGAGGCGCACTGTTGAAGCTTGGGGAGCGCAGAGGGAGGGGCGTGAACACGTCTGAGTAGGCCACGCACCCTCGCTCCTAGGTTCACTTCCAGGCGGCGCAGCCTGTACCGCGAGCCACGCGCTCCTCTGTTCGCATTTCATTTTTCCCCGATAGTACCAGCCATGCCATCATGCTGTGAAACGAAACCACGTTTTTGCGCGGCGGGAGTTACTTTTTGAGCTGAAGCACTTGCTCCTCAAAGGAACGGCCGTGGGAAAACTATATTTGGTCTCTGCCTTGAAGTTCCCGTGGTCGCGCGACGTCGGGTGTTGCCGTCGCCACGTCGCTGCACATATGGTGCTTTCTAAACTGAGACGTAAGGACCGCCCTAATGTTCATCAACATTATTGTTCTTGTTTAATACGCTACTACAAAAAAATCCCTCTTGCTCGAAGACTGCTGTGTCGAAGTACTGTTTGCCTAGGTTTCTCTCGGTGGGCTTTCTTTCGAGGGGGACCCCGGTACCTGAAAAATCCGCCGCGGAAGTAAGTTGGTGAGGAGAAGTGAGCTATATCAAAGAAGGCAGTGTCTGAATCCGCACAGCGCGCTTGTTGCATCGTATGCTCAGGTTTCTTTTTGTGTGTGTGTGTGCGTTTAGTTTGTACTTCGCCAGCCAGTCTGGCAAGCACGTACGGCTGGACTGATTTTTGTTGTATGCTCGACAGTTACATTTTGTGTACAATTTTGGGAACCAGTTGGCGACGGAGCGGAGTGACTTGGTTTCGATCGAACAGCCATCTCCGCTCGCGTGACAATTTCGCATTGCTTTGCGGTGGTCACGTGTATCGACAGTTAGAGACTACTTCCATTTATTATATAACTAGTCAACCTAGTGTTGTGATATTTAATACTAAGCTGGTCATTTTGAAATAAATTTTAATATCTGTAGTTTGGTTCTCATTTACCTGTAGCGGGTACATATATATGTATTATTTAACTGAAGCATTGCATAATGTGCCATGTCATTGGCATTTTAGTTAAATGTTGAAAGACTCCCAGGTAGTCGCTTGACTATAATTTGTTTACTGCGGCGAGCAAAGTGTCCTTCGTTTGTTCAGCACCTGAAACAAATATTTTTATTTTTCTAAAAATATCAGCTCCAAAAGCCACTTTTGTTGCTCCGAAACACTCTATTAGCTGCTCCAAAGTCCACTTTTGCTGCTCCAAAACACTGTTTTGGCTGCTCCAAAAGGTGTTCCAAAACGGCGTAGGCCAATCACATCACTGCGTCTTTCATTATATTGGTGTAGTTTCAAACTTTCCAGCAGATGGGGTGGATGTGATTTCGCAAAACCTTTGCTCTAAGGAAGCACAGTTCCAGGGTCACCTTGTGAATGTGTTTTCATGTCGTAACAAACTGCAAGAACTATTGTTGTAAGCAAACGCGAGTGTGTGCCTTCTGTTCTCATTTATGTGTCCTGTTTTGGGACTTGGGCAGCATCTAACTTTCTGCTTTGTTTGGTCCGTTTCTCGACAGCATTCAGGCGTGCCCGGACGTGAAGTATGGCAAGCGGATCCACGTGCTGCCCATCGACGACACCGTGGAGGGCCTGGCAGGGTGAGTTGGCAGTTTTGATAGATAGCAATGGACGCTGACTGGTTCCTGTTGAAAGGCAGTGCCCTCGGCCGCATGTTCAGAGACTTGGATTCTTAGAATGCTCAGAGACGCCGCTTGCTTCAGTTTAGTTGACTGTAAAGTGAAGCGTTTTTTCAGTTTCAGCTCAAAATTTATATGCACCTAATGCAAACAATGATTCGTGGCTATGAGCTCATTTTGTTCGTCCACATACAGTATTTTAACGCATATTACTCGCACCCTAAACCTACTACTCTCGGAAAAGAAAAAAAAACCCACATATTGCCCACGCTAACTACGCAAAGCAAAGTCCAGATCCCGCTAGAAACTTAACCTTTATTTTGAATACACTCATCGCTGCAGCTATCTGAGGTGCCCTCGTTGTCATAGATAGCGTCGTAATCCATGCCGTCAAGGCGATTGCTGACGGTGCAGTTTTTGAAACTTCCGCACCATCTCGTCTGGGTGCAGCCAAATCAGTGTCAGTACGGTGTGACCGCGTCCTCTTCTCTCCTCTATGAACTTTGCCGGCGCTTTTTCAAGATCGGGGTATGCACCAGTCTACCACAAAATGACCTTCGGTCGCAACTTGTGGGTTTACCTTCTTCCTCCATTCTCGCACGCACGACCGCATGCATCGTCGTAGCGGATGTTGTTCCAGCCTGCCGCTCGTTTTTCTATCTCTTTGTCAACGGATCTGACAACAGCCGCATTCTCTGTTGAAGAGATTAGAGACTTCAAAGATTGTTGCCGTCGACATCAACGACGCTCTGTGCTTTCACGTCTAATCGACGGCTTCGCTCAGCTACTCGGCCCGCATAAACAATGCAAAGATGGCTATCGGAAGCAAGTCTCTAGGAGATACTGGAGAAGGGGGACATGGGAATCTATCTCTGACTTTGTGCGCATTGCCATAAAGCCACACTGCTTGCCAAAATTCGCACATAACCCGCAACCATACTTCGCCTTTGATTTCATATAAATTTTGATGCGAGCAAATGCGGTACTTTTACACAGGCAGCATAAAAACTGCTAGGGCAGACATGCAACTGGACTATCCTTTCTCTTTCTCATCCTCTTCGGCGTCATGTGATGAGTGCTTCGAGGGGCAATGGGGAGCATACGGGCAAGTGCAGGAAATCCCCGTAATGTTTCATGCGAATAGCTCTCTTTGAACACTCTTGTGTCAGGCGACCCCTTTGTGCAACTTTATTCACTCTTGCGGTGTATGGAAAGCCAAAACTTTGTTCCCTCTTGCTGTGTTGTGCAGTGAGACGTTTTTTTGTTCAGTGTTTTTATCCCCTCGTAGTAAGCCACAAAGGAAGCATGCACGTTGAGGCTTGGTTTCACACTCGCAATGGCCCCTCTATGCGCTTCTGTCTGGAGGGTCTATCTCTGCTGTATGGACCGTTTTTGGAGCTCGCCGGTCTGGGGGTTCCAGTACAAAAATGCGTGATCACGTCAGCCAAGCATGGGCACTTTCTCGACCAAAGCTGCTAGATCAGACTGGCTCTATTGAGCTACAGTGATTTAGATGGGGGTTCTCCCAAAGTCTCTTTTGTGCCTATTATGGCTTATCTTTTGCCCCAGGTTCGTTTGAAGGCGAGTCTTCCTTCTCCTTCCGAAAGTGGGCACTGTTTCATCCTCGAAATCCTCGAGCTCATTTTTCCGTCAGGTGGAGTCGGGTATTTGCATAATGGTGGATTGCAGGAGCCGTACGCTATTCAGAGGCTTACCGGCTGGGTTAAGGAGCATAGTAAAATGCTTTTGCATTCGATGCAACCCTACGGGTAAAATGTAAACACAACGTGTGGGTTGTGGCTTAATTTTGCACGATGGAACGTAGGAGCCTGTTTGAGGTGTACCTGAAGCCGTACTTCCTGGAGGCGTACCGGCCGATCCACAAGGGGGACCTGTTCCTGGTGCGGGGGGGCATGCGGGCGGTGGAGTTCAAGGTGGTGGAGACGGACCCCTCGCCCTACTGCATCGTGGCCCCGGACACGGTGATCCACTGTGACGGGGAGCCCATCAAGCGGGAGGAGGAGGAGGAGTCCCTGAACGAGGTGGGCTACGACGACATCGGGGGCTGCCGCAAGCAGCTCGCCCAGATCAAGGAGATGGTCGAGCTGCCCCTCCGGCACCCCAGCCTCTTCAGGGCCATCGGGGTCAAGGTGCGTCCCTCCCCGGTTCCTTCGTCCTCCGGCTGCCTCGGCCGAGGTGCCCGCATTCCGACCTAGGCTTGTTACGGAAAAGGTGCCGCGTGACCGAAATTTCGGTTGCACGTGGAGAGATCCCCAGGCGGCCCAAATTGGACCTCTGCCCTCTACCGGGGCCTGCCAGATGCCCTTTGTTGGTTTGGCACATTTGCCAAACCAACAAAGTTTGACTTTGGTCACTTACCTTCAAGGTCGTGCGACATGATGGGGGGGTAGTAAACAATAACATGCAAATAACAACGGCAAGAAACAAAAAAGAAACACTGTCTTACAGAAAAGATGATGTCAGAAAGAGCATTTTTGAAAGAAGTTGAGTCGTGCATGGAGCGTGAGTTTTTGCGTGACCACTGTCAGTCGTGCAAGGAGGAAATTCACCTTGTACAGTGTCTGCGGACTGTCTTTCGTTCAATGTATGACCGCAGCTTTGTGGTCCTTGCGCAGCAGGGTTAGCAGAGTATGCTCACGAGTCTGCTATAGGCAGAATTGGAATGGCTTTGGTTGCGTGCACGCGCTCGAAGCTCGTGAGGTGTCCAAAGCGTCGTCGAAGGGAGAAGTGCAGGAGGTGGGACGACTGGAGCTCCTCCCTGTCGTTTTCGCCGTGCCAGTGGCTGTTGTAAACCTTTTGAAAGAATTGTATTGAATCGCTCGGTTACTCTATACTTTGGTTCGTGGGACATAATGTCACGACAGAAACAAGATTGTCGACTGTTCTGTGACAGTCATTAAATCTGCTCTCTTCGGTTGCTGTACTGTGTTGCACAACATATTTTTGTTCAAGGGTAGTATGCGATCGTCCAGTCGCGGGGTAGGCTTCTCCTATGATGGGTTGCCACCGAGGTTGATCTCAAGTATCCCTCTTTTAAGCGAGGTTTCTTCTGGTTTTCTTCAGCCACCCAGAGGCATCCTTCTGTACGGTCCTCCGGGTACGGGCAAGACCCTGATTGCTCGTGCTGTGGCCAACGAGACTGGAGCCTTCTTCTTTCTCATCAACGGTGAGAACTTTTGCATCTCACTTGGCTGTGTGGTGCTAGGCACGAGGAGTGAGCGAATCATTATTCTGAAAGTAATAGATGGTCTTTTTTGCTAACTGCACTGTGCTTCATTTCACCTTCGAGCCTATCAAAGCTATTTCTCGCTTATGCTAGTAGGAGAAAGGGAAATAATCTCCTAGCTTTTCATCCCTACTGAAGGTAATAGAATTACTGCTGTGCGAACTTGGTGTATCGAGTGGTTACAAATTTATGGAATGACTCGGTCACGTTTGAGTCTCCTTCGGACATTTAGTTTAGTAGCTGGCAAATTTCTAGCGTTAGCTAGGAATTTGCTAGCTACTAAGCTAATGTGGTGGTGTGGGCAAGACAAACTATTACTGTTTTCATCCCCGATTTATAGACTAGTCTGTTAACAGCAATCGTTGCAGCATGCAGGTTGTGTTATAAGATGCGCTGCTGGCACACTTGAAAATGATTACCGTATTTACTTGCATAATGACCGCAGCCCCACATTTGGCAGCAATATTTTGACTTTTTTTTTCCCCTCGTATAATGAACACACCTCCAATTTTTTGCGCAGAGTTTCGAACTGCGTCCACCTTAGCTAGCCGGCTAGCCACCAAGCCAATTTTCTTGTCACCAAGCTGCCAGGCCAAGTCAAGCCAAACGAAGCTGCTCTTGTAATGACTGCAAGTGCATGTTTGTGGAAGTGATCAACCGTGAAACCGAGCGGCGCACACACCTAACGAAGCTAGGGTCAAGGAATTGCCCGGCCTTGGACATTTTTCGCTTATCGGATGCATTGATGTCAACAAACATGCAGTCGTCTGTGGTTCGCTTTTACACGGTGAAATTGTGAAAGTGGTTAGGCCTAAGAACTGTCGCGTCGCTTTCCGTGCTAAGTGAGTTTCGTAGCGTGGTTTTCCTTCAACAAAAGGCACGCCGAAAGTGCCCTAAAAATAGTTTGGAATTTATAAAGCGTGGTTACTGTGGTGTGCCCACGACTAGCTTCACTGACCGGGGAGCGCATCCCAGTCAGTGGAATTTATAAAGCGTGGTTACTGTGGTGCGCCCACGACTAGCTTCACTGACCGGGGAGCGCATCCCAGTCAGTGAAGCTAGTCGTGGGCACACCACAGTAACCACGCTTTATAAATTCCACTGACTGGGATGCGCTCCCCGGTCAGTGAAGCTAGTCGTGGGCACACCACAGTAACCACGCTTTATAAATTCCAAACTATTTTTAGGGCACTTTCGGCGTGCCTTTTGCTGCCATGTCATATTGTGCCACAGTACCCTGCCACGTCATATTGGCACCTAAAATGACATTTGTGCGAAATGTGTTCATGCAAATATTTTACTGTGTAATGAATGCACCCCCCCCAAATGTGTCAATTTTTTAGGGGGGAAAATGCGTTCATTATACAAGTAAATACTGTAGGTGGTTTTGCGGCAGAGTTTGAACGTCTCGGCTCCTTGCGACGCTTGATTGTCGTGCTCTCTGTTATGTGCCATATTTTTTTAAATTCATCGAAATAATGTTATTCTGTGATAGGGTCAGGGGGCAGGCAAACTGGTGTGTGTATGACCTAAGTTATAAACTTGGGAATGGTGTGGTAACACACACAAAGAGGCTAGGTTTCAAACGTAGCTTATTGTCTCGGAAAGAACTTGGTTAATTGAAACACCGTGGCATTGCAGATATGCAGGGGGGAGGTGGTCTAAAGACCTCACTGGGACTCAATGCAACTGTCTTCTTGCGAGAGTTTGAAAAGTGTCTTTTCACACAAGGAAAATAACCATTTTGTGGTAGAAATGCGTTGAAACGAATTAAAGGAAAGTGAGGTCTTAGTGCAGCAATTTTTATTCATCCATGTCTCCCTCAATCTTAGATTTTTCATTATGATGTGTTTTTATCTGTTTTTAATTGTTTTTTTGTTTTAACTATCATTACATGTTGTTTAAGTGCAAATTTGCTCCTGAGTTCAGGAATAGGAAAGGAACAACGTTGCCAATTTGCTATGTTTGCTCTCTCAACGTGCCCATTTATCTGGAAACTAGCGAGGTCAAGAATGCCACCCTGCTCAAGTGTGTTGCCGCATGTCTCGTTCAGGTCCCGAGATCATGAGCAAGCTTGCCGGAGAATCGGAGAGCAACCTGCGCAAGGCCTTTGAGGAGGCCGAGAAGAACTCTCCCTCCATCATCTTCATCGATGAACTGGATGCCATTGCACCCAAGAGAGAGAAGGTATGTCATGTGTCAGAGACAAATCACCGCTATCCTTTAACACGGAATGGCAGTCTGACAGGAGCCAGCAATGATTTTGTGTCTCTCTCTGACTTGGCATTGCTCCCAAACAGTGGAGACTGTAGCACAAGTGGAAAGGGTAAAAGTTGCCCCCTTTCCACATTTCCACCTGTCCCTCTTCATTTGCTGCAGTTGCCCTGCAGACAGATAGAAAGGTAGACACTTAGTGCAGTCAAGAGGCCTTCACGACAGGACGCTTTGACCTACACAAGAAAAAAATACAACGGTATTGTTGCAAAAGGAATAGTCGTGGAATACATGTCACTTTGTGCCCAAGGGGACACAATAATCAAGTAAATACCATAACAAGCTGAGAACAACCTTGGCTTGTTGTGAGCTGAGCCAGCTGTACCTGTGGCATTGTGCCATTCTGTGCACTCATTTTAAAAGTTCCTTTTTTTTTTTATTTAATATTCTGCGCAAGCGAGGATCACTGATTGCGGCTTGCAAATCAGCCCAAATACGCGGCAGTGGATGGTGTGCCGTTCGCCCGAGTGCCCGACTCCCGGGGGTGGTGGCACTTGATACAAGAGCCACTCCGAAACTGCCGATGGAACAGTCTTACACCCTGCTGCTTTTCTCACGGTCACATATTGTTTAAACGGGTGCCTAGATCGTGGAACTGTGCTGGAGTGGCAACTACGTTTCTCTGTATCGACATGCGTGATCCGGGCAGTTGAGGTATTCGGTGCTCGTTTACGGCCGTTCTTTATCCGAAAGAAACCGACAACTGCGCTGCTGGAGGCAAGTTCGACCCCTGGGAGCGGGTGGTGCACCAGTGGCATCTGTGATCGTGCAGGATCTTATCTGTGAGAGCAAGCAAAAAGAATTCCGCGGGCCAAAGTTTGGATAGGCGCGGATGCCTTTCGGAGTTGGAAGTCAGGCTTGCAACGTACATAGCAGAAGTCCACAATCAGTCTACTCCCAACATGTGATGCGATCACCGAGTAAGCGCGGAGGACAAGGTTTGTGTCATTTGCGAAGTGCCAGATTTCGTTGGACGACTTTGACGACGTGCTTTAGTAACGTAAAAGTGATGATGACGGGAACGACGGCATCAGTGTGGAAAAAATGTAGTTTCACGTCACAAATGGAATGAGAACGACAGGGAGTAGCTTCAGTGGCAATTTCCCTCCTCCAGTGAGAGGGTTTTAGCTTCAATAACACTTCGGCATCTCGCGCTTGCATGTCCAGCCGAAGCACGCCAGAAGGCATGGAGCACACTCCAGGCCAGGCTTTCGATAGACGCCCTACCAGTCTTGCAAGTTCACCATAAAATGCACCCCAAAATGTTTTTCTTTTTTTTTTTCACTGGCAATGCTTCAGGGTTGACTTGTATCGTGTAAATACAGTACCGTAGAATACCGTGCATCTGCCCATACCTCACTAAGCGCCCATTCCCGAATTTGTAAGGTCTGAGAAAATATGCACAGTACATTGATGTGTAAAATTGATGGCCGGACAAGCGCCCATCCCTCATTTTTTCGCGATTATCTCTAAATTTTGAGTTGGCGCTTGCTCGGTATTTTACGGTATGTCATTTCATACAATTTCTAAATTGCAAGTTTGTTGCATCCATGTCATTGGACACTTTGAAGCAATTGATGCGACATACAGCGTCGTCTTGTTTTATTTCCGCCTACGAATTATGCTTCGTGGCAAGTGAAGCATGTTCCTCACTTGCGTTGGCACGCAAACTCTACGAAGGCTACCTTCGCTCGCTCCGTGGGAGGCAAATTATATCTCGCTCCCAATCGAGGTGACCGAAATTGAACACCTGGCACACTACTTGCACTTCTGCATCGCAACTGCACGCTATGCGCTTCGAAAGATTGAAAGGGACGACAAGGCTGCACCGTGCTCGTTGTGCCACGATGGCTCGCTTATTTGTTTTGTTCATGCGCGACACCCAACCTGCCTGTCTGCAGACGCACGGAGAGGTGGAGCGGCGCATCGTGTCCCAGCTGCTCACCCTGATGGACGGACTGAAGCAGAGGGCCCACGTGATCGTCATGGCTGCCACCAACAGGCCCAACAGCATCGACGCCGCCCTACGCCGCTTTGGTGCGTCCAACTGCCCTTACGGGGTTGCTACATTTTTTTGAGGGTTCATTTCTTTTTTCTTAGAGCGCAGCTTTTAGACACCTGTTTCCGGCTTGAGCGGCATCATCGTTGGCGTAACCTCTGTGCATTATTGGACGTTTCCCATAATCCCATAATGATGTCATGTGTGACGTTACGTGGGTCACTCGTGAAGGCCACAACCTTCACTAGGGTCACGGGTGATGTCACGAGGGGTCACCAGTGACGTCACGAGGGGGGGAGGGAGGGAGGGAGGAGGAGGGGCATACCCTCCTCTCTGTACCCTCCACTCCTCCTCCTCATGAGCTGCGCTCTAATTTGGCGTTACAGAAGATTGTAAACGTCTTTCTTTATTTATTTTTTGTAAATTACTCGCATTCATAGAGATTGGCGTCATTAGATCAACTTAGTCGCGGAACTCCCACGGAGGGAACCACCCTTCTCCCCCTGGAGCCGGACACCCTACTTTTGAAGTGGTGTCTAGAGGCTGCATTTCACAACTGTATTCTTCAAAGACTCCACAGTGAAGCACCATCTAGACTCTGCTTCAAAATCTATTAACTGCAGTTACCATAACGCCCCCCCCCCCTCTTTTCCCCACCAAAGAAAGAAAACCAAAGTGGCACATTGAACTATAAAAAGCAGACTTGGGGGGGGGGGGGGGGTTTACTGCTTGTGGAAGCCACATCTATAGGCAGTTTCATAAAGGAGTTGACCTAATAATGCTGGTAGAGATAAATTGAATCACCATGATTTCATTGTGCTTGTGGTTGATCAACTGAGGTTTTTATAGTGGAACGTGTACGAACTAAGTAGGCCTGCGATCACTGAAAGGAGCGCAACAACGTGTCTCGTTTGTTTGGAGCCTGCGCGCCCCTTCAGCAACAGCTCACATAGGCCTTTCGTAAAATGCCGAGCATATGCCCATGTCGCAGTAAGGGCCTACGTCTTGCGTTTGGAATATAGGCAGAGGGCACATCGAGCACCCACCCCAGCAAACTTGCGAGCCCACCGAGCTAACTGTGGCACTCCTTTGCGTCATTGCAAGACTGCCGAGATAAATCTGGCTTGGCGAGAGTGGTAGGGTTGGTTTAAGAACGAGGCATTCCGCCAGGCCCCTGTAGTGCTTATGGACCTTTGCATTGGATGATGTGAAAGCCTATCCTACGAAGTGCCCCTTTTCAGGGGCAGTTCTCCGTAATCGTTGCCAACTTTTGGGTTGGTGCTTGCTCGGGTCAGTATTTTATGGTAATCATTGCAATATGCAGGAAGTGACAAGTGAAGATTGTGGTGCATTCCTCTCAGATTTGAAGAAGGTAAATGTCATCAGCCTTGTGTGCATAGCACCATTGTTTTTGGCCCAGATTCCACACTGCTACCACTTCATAGCCCTCAAGTTGGTTCAAAATAGTTTAGTGCAAAATCGGTGTGTGGTGGGGGGGGGGGGTTCAGGTGTTTGGGCTAGAGAACAGTTGCTCTGGGGTCGAGATTTCTTCCTAAAGTTCTTTTAAGAAGCTAATGAAATCGTGTGTGACCTGGTGTGTGCAGGCCGCTTTGACCGCGAGGTGGACATTGGGATTCCGGACGCCACAGGCCGCCTGGAGATTCTGCGCATCCACACAAAGAATATGAAGCTCGCCGACAACGTGGACCTTGAAAAGGTATGCGAACAGCGTCGCGCTATTATCCGCGTTGTTGGTCTCTCTTTAGCTTTTGTTCGTGGAGTTTTGTCGCGGTTTAAATGTTTGGATTTGTTGTGGCGACGCGGTTTTTTAGGTTAGTCTAACGCCCTATGTAGAGACTTTTTCGTGGCGGCATTTCACGAGCTTTTAGAATTCTGCCATTGGGACGGGTAAGTCTTGTTATTGCAGGAAACTCTTCATGGCGATAGTGCACTGTAATCAGCCAACCAGATGCTGCTTGCGTTATGAAACAGAAGGTAGCGAGATTATTCCTCCCTGCCAGTTTGGTGTGGACATAAGCATTCTTTTATGTCATTCTAACACTTATGGATGCTAAAGAGAACAGGCAGCCATGTCTTGGGATTATGTCTGTTACTGCAAGTATGCTTGCAAGGGTCTTTGCAACAAATTGGCAGTGTCAGGTAAGGGGTGATATTAACCTGCTAAGCTTTGAGTTTGAGCTGTTTATTCAAGATTTCAGAATTTTTAGGGATTTGAGCTTGACCAGCTTGAAAGATTTGAACTTCCCAGCAGTTGGGATAGGTTGAGATCTCTCCAAAACTTGAAAACTAATGTCGTAAACATATAAGTTTGGTGGGTTTGTGGTGCGGACAAGAGCTTTGAAAGCGTAAAGTGAAGCCTTTGCTAATCGAGTGTTCGTGCAGTCCGTGTTGGGAGCCTACAAATCTTATATCCTTCAACTTTTTGGAGAAGGGTAAAAGTTCTTGGAAGCTAGCAGCTGCGCGACTTGAAATACACTCGACGTGCATTTCAAAAGATGTTCGAGAAATTGTTTCTTATCGGGAATTATCTTAGGCAACATGAATGCACACTTTGATATCTTCGTCAACAGGGAGGATTCTACAAGAATTTGCGATGCTCTTGATCTAGCACTGGTTAATGCCCAAGTAAAATATGTTACTGTCTGATGTATAGCAAATTGTATAACAGATTAGGACACTTGGAAATAGATGAGGAAGGGGTGAAAAGCTTAGAGTGTGATCATAAGTGATAAAATTTGATGCAGCAGAGCCAGAGTCACAAATTCTTGAAAGTAAATTGACCCTAAACGACGCCCAGCTACAAAAAGTATTGGAGCGAATTGAAACTATAGTATCCGGATAACTGGAGGGAGAATGGGAATAGGATGTTTTAGTGAACACTTTTAAAAAGGAGTTATAGAGAAGTTCAAAATCAAACAAACGGGAAGAAAACACCGAAAAAGGTTGTGAGGCAGAGAAGCTAAGGCGGCCATAACAGGGCGACAAGAGGCCTCGAGGGAACACAGACGGGTGAAGAAAAGGGGGGACACACCCGCTGAAATAGCATCAAAATGGGATACATTTTGGGGAAAGAAGAAATCCAGGCTAAGATTAGTAGAGCTGGAGTGCAGTGGATGATGGAGGAAAATCAAAATGATAGGAATGGTGCAGAGAGGTTCTGGAAGCACATTAGCGCACAGGCAAGAAAAACGGAAGGGTTCCATTGTTCGTTGACCACACACGGGGTAAGTGTAGGGTGCGAAGAGGCAAGGAAGTTTATTAGACGAACAATCGAGACAATATTTGTATTGAAACAGGAAGACTGCATTGGGACTCCTAAGCATGAGCCTTCTATGACACGTTTGTCTATGACACGTTTGTCCATGACACGTTTGTCCATGACACGTTTGTCCATGACACGTTTGTCCATGACACGTTTGTCCATGACACGTTTGTCCATGACACGTTTGTCCATGACACGTTTGTCCATGACACGTTAGTCCATGACACGTTTTTGCCCATGACACGTTTTTGCCCATGGCACATTTGTCCGTGACAGTCTGTCCAAGACTCATTTGTCCACGATTCATTTGTCCATGGTTTGTTTGTCAGTGACCCATCTCCCCTCCATGCAGATCTCTGCCGAATCACATGGCTTTGTGGGTTCCGACCTGGCGGCCCTGTGCTCCGAGGCAGCCCTGCAGCAGATCCGCGAGAAGATGGACCTCATCGACCTGGACGACGACCAGATCGACGCGGAGGTGCTCAGCTCCCTGGCGGTCACCATGGACAACTTCAGGGTGAGTGTGCCGGACCTCGGCGTCGCCCGCGTCTCCCCATCTTCGTGGGGAAGTTTCTCGTCTTTGCACGGGCTGTGTTCGGACAGTACCAGAAAGACATACTTTGAGGTGGACGTGCACCCTTCCGAGTTGTGTAACATTCCGCCTTGAGGTGGGTGCAAGATCGTCTGCAACGACTCGATGCAAACATCCAAATGCGGAGTGTTGTTGGCGACTTTTGTATTTTTCTGGCAGTTAATTTGCTATAGTCACTGACGGGCAAAAAGACGCCCTGTCATTCTCGCCTTGTCATTGACCATAGTCCGACAGGAAGATGGACAAGAATCCTGTCATAATGGCTTTTCCAACAAGACAGGTTCGTAGTGCTAGTTTAGCGCCGCGACGCATATGTCTAGCTGGCCTAGTGGTTATTGACTCTGGCAGGTATTTCGAGCCACCCGAGCTAAAATATTTTACAGCGAAGCTGTCTAAGGCTAGGTTCTGGCAGATCGTTTTTGGGGTAGGGGAGAGTCGGGAGGAATGGGACGCTTTTCACAAATGCATTTTAGTTTTGTTTATTATGAACGCAAAAAAGATGGTTGATGGATTATAGTACAAGTCGAAACAAGCTGCGCAAATTCTGCGAAACACAGGTTACTGCCACTTCTAGAGCAACTGCAAAAAAATAGTTTCTAGCAGCTAAAATCTGTCCCATTCCACCCGTCCCTTCGGGTGGAGTGGGACATCCTTTGGGAGGAATGGGACGCCAGTAAAATATCGGTCCCAACGTCTTCAGCGGACATTAAAACACACAAACTTGAAGCAAGCTTGCAGGCGCTTCGTTCCCCCAATAGTTTTTGGCGCTGGCAGCTTCTTCACAATATCCGTTATTGACACAGTCCCTATATCTTTCTGCGGAGGAAAGTAAAACTTTGAGCTCTCTTCTTTCTTTCGAAGGAACTGGACACTGACGTCAGTATTGTCACTACTTTCGACTCTACCCGTGTAATAAACGTCAGATTTTTTCTTACCAAATCTGACAAGGACAAAATCGCCTTTTGTCACTTGAAAAGTTTTGTTTGGGCAATCGGCCTCAGAAATGTCCCGCCTCTCATTATCGGAACCCGACATGTCACTGTCTGAATCATCAAATGCAACGACAACAGTGTCGTCTTCAATTGAAGAACTGAACTCCTTCTGAAGTCGCCGTTTCTTTTTTGGGCGGGTAGTGGCGACAGTCTTAGCTGTGATAAGCGCTCTTTTTTTCAGACTCTGTCGTGCCAGCCTCTCTGCAGCTTCTTGTTCAATCGCATGCTTCTCGGGTGTATCCGTAAGGACTTTTGTCCTACCTTTCTTCCTTCCTTTTTGCCCTGTCTTACGCGGTGCAGCCTTAGGGTAGGGCCTTAGGTCGCTCGGAACAATCCGGCTGGGAGATGCAGTTGACGTCGAGGCTGCGTTGGCGACAGTAGGTGGGAAGACATCTGTAGAGACGTTGCAAGCTCCATGGCCGTTTGTCTCAAAGTTCAAATCACTTTCCAGTCTGCTTGCGCTGTCCGTTTTCTCGGTGATGGTGGCCGTCTGTCGTGACACTTCTCCGCTTACGGACGTTAAGGGTCTGTCAGTGACTGATGACATCATGTAGTCATCCGAAGTGAAGGGCTCGCTATTGAAAGGCCAAATTCCAGTTTTCTGAAAGCCCGAGATTATGTTCTTTTGTGTCACCGTTAATACGTAGGCGGATCCAACTAGTTGTGCAACATTGTGGATGGAGATGGTCTTCCCGGGGTTATTTATGAGCCAATCATTGCAAGCAGCGTTGTACCGAGATTTAAATGGTCCGTACACGGACACATCAAGTGGCTGCAGGCGGTGGCTTCAGTGTGGGGGAAAGGTCAGCAGGATGACTCCGCTCTCTTTGGCCTTGTTGATGGTGTTGATGCTCACATGGCTTTCATGATTGTCGAGTATCAAGAGAATTGGCTCCTCCTTCGAGCACTTCGTATGTCTCACAGGTGCTCTAACGCCAGCAAAAACAGTTCGCTCGACATCCAGCCCGACTTGCTTGCCAAACCGAGGCTTCCTGCCGGGGCGCCTTTCAGAAAAAAATCTTTAAACCTCACGCGTGGGAAAATGAACACTGGTGGCAGGGCGTTTCCGATATCATTGACAGTGCACAAAACAGTCACCAGTTCGCCGCGTTCTGCGGATGTAACCTGACCGATTTGCTTTTCTCCACGTGCTGCTACTACCTTTGGTGGGTTGTGTGCAGTTGTGAAGCCCGTTTCATCACAATTGTAGATGCGGTCCGGAGTTAGCTTGTATCGGTCGTAGACACTTTTCAGGTTTGAAAGGAAAGCATCGACGTTGTTCTTATTGAAGCTTGTTGCCCGACCCAGACTGGTCGCTTCTGGCGATCGAAGCGATAGCTCGGGATGGCGGTCCATAAAGCCCATAAACCAGTCTCTTCCAGCTACCTTCTTCTGTTCCCATGACGCAGGGCACTTCCTCTTTAAGGCTGTTGCAAACTCGTACGCCAGTGAACGAACTTGCATTCTCGTAAGCCCATAATGCATTTTGCTTGCTTTCAGCAAATATTCTTTCAAGAGTACTTCATCTTCTGTTGTGAAGACCATTCCGCAGACCAAATTGGACTTGAACATGATGCCACCTCCTGTCACCGCATTCTCTGTACTTCTTCACTGCTCGGCCAAGCGATGATTTTGATATTTCAAAAGCTTCTGCTACGTCTCTTATACTTTTCTTTTCATCGCACACCAATCTCACAGCATCCAGGATCAAATTGTTCGATGTTTGAGCTCTGTCGGGATGCTTCCTCTTGTAAACCCGCGGCATCTTCCTGAAAATGGGAATGGATCAAAAATTGGCAAATTTAAATATTCACGCACACCAAGCACGCTTAACGTCCTTGCATGCACGTAGCAGCACTCATATTGCTGCCTATTATTCACGTGCTTATTCCGGGTTTCTCGCAAATGTGTACAGTAATCACACCTTTCTAGTGGAGAAACATTGCATTTTATGATGCCCCGTTGGTTTAGCGCGTCTTAACGTCAAGTGTCGCAGAAACAGCCTGTATGTTATTTAACATCACGGCACCAAGCATTTGTACACTTTAAATAACAAATAAAAAAATAACTGCTTTTGGATCTAAAGTGGCGCAGCATTGAAGCTTATTCGCTAGACACAGCACCAGCCGTATGGTGGGGAGGAATGGGACACTGTCCCATTCCACCCGCGACTCAAATGTCCCATTCCTCCCCAGGTGGTTCGCCCAACGAAAAATACATTCAATGGCGCAAATTCTCTTGTTAGGGCTAAACTTGTTATTGCATGAAGCACGACCCTAACGCGTGTTTTCGAAGAAAAATTGGTATCAGCATAGGCAGGGTGGTTTAAAACTGAGAGAGGTGTAATTGAGTAAGCGGATACTTACTTTTGACACGTGAAAAACGAGAGTTGTAGTCAGAGAAAGCACCGTCCGGTGAAGACGGCCACCATTACAGCCAGGCTATCGGTATGCTAGCGCCACCTCGTGAGCAGCCGATGAACGTGTTTGAACTAACTCCTGGAGAGATAAACGAGCTGTCCCATTCCTCCAACCGTCCCATACCTCCCGACTCTCCCCTAAGACTGAGCGTAGACTAACAATTGTGTACAGTTAATGCTGCAGACCCCGGTGCCGCAAGCACTTGCCTTCCCCATATAAAAGATTCCAACTAAATGGCCAAAATAAAGTGGTGACGAAAGGACGTGCAAGGTACGATTCGTTTTAGGCTTTTGCTTTAGAACAGTGAAGGGAGGATACGGCCCCAAAATTTCAATTGTTTCCGAAAAAATGCAGTTTTTAAAAAATATTATATTTGGGTTCACTATATTCTGAAGCATAGTTTCAAAAAGCTTCATCGTATCGCTGGTTCACCGCTGTTTAGATTTGTTATCTCTTCTTGTTCCCGGTAGTTTTCCTGCCGAGGAATGCCTGCTTTTAAAGTTAAAACTTGCAGTAGCTTTGGCCGGCGTTCTCGATGGCAAAAGCTACTTCAAAGTGGCTACGCAGAAAACGGCAAATGAAAGTGATGCCAAAACCAACATTAAAATTTTTCCCGTCCTCTCTAGTGGGGCGATGTCGCATAGTGCATAACTTGAGAGTCAAGCGGGCAGTCTAAAAACTCAATATTTTGCGCATGCTTTTCGTTTCGCTGGCATGAGCTTCACCGTTATTCATTTCACACCATCAAACTTCTTGTAACCCTTTGGGAACAAGGTCTATTACCTCCTTATCGCGCCATATTACAACGTCTGATGTCTCGTTTTAAGTGATGCCAGTATAGCCTTTCGGGATAAATTTAAATCTTGAGTAGCTTTGAGAGGAAAAAAGTTATTGTGACTCGCATTTTAGGTTACTGGTTCGTACCTGTCTATTCAAGGGATACTGAACTGAAAATTTGGGGTGCAATTATCTCGTAGCAGCAACTATAACATATGTACACCCGTGAGCGATATGAAGGTGAACAGCCCTCTTGTTTTTGATGCTCCTGCATGTTTTGGAACAAGCTCTGTTCCAGAAGAGGGCTAGAACGCAAAGTTTAGACCCCCAAGCCACGTACCATTTGAGACATTGAGAGTTAATATAGCTTTAGGGAGTCGTAAAACAGGTAAGAGACCAGGTAAGGTGTTTACCTTCATATTGTCGGCGGGTGTACATGCCATACATGACGGTATTTTAAGAAGTGATGTGGTAAAATACATATAAAGGCTAAAACCACGAAAAACCGAATTACGAGCTTTGTGGCGTGTCAGTTTTTGAATGCTCACGCGCTGGATGCGAAAGAGAAGGCCCAAGACAAGGAGGAAAGCGAATTTGCCGATGTCGCATCTGGAAGGCTTGCTGTGGGCGTAGCTAGATTGCTGTATTCTTTTCAAGAAGTGCAGTGTTTTGTTTGAGATACTTTCGTATAAATGGCAATTCTGGCTTTGTAGGGTCCAATAAAACACTTCTACTACCTTTCTTTTTCTTTTTTTTTTTGAAATTGAGGATTGGTTTGCATTCTTTTAATCTGTCTAACCAATTTTGAGGCAAACCAGGATCCATCCAAATTATGCCTTTAAAGCGTCTTCCCGCTCTCCCCTTTGCAGTGGGCGATGGGCAAGAGCAGCCCGAGCGCCCTGCGGGAGACGGTGGTGGAGGTGCCCACGGTCACCTGGCTGGACATTGGGGGCCTGGACAACGTCAAGAAAGAGCTGCAGGAGATGATCCAGTACCCCGTGGAGTACCCGGAGAAGTTCCTCAAGTTCGGCATGACCCCGTCGCGGGGGGTGCTCTTCTACGGGCCCCCCGGCTGTGGCAAGACCCTGCTGGCCAAGGCCATAGCCAACGAGTGCCAGGCCAACTTCATCTCCATCAAGGGCCCCGAGCTGCTCACCATGTGGTTCGGCGAGTCAGAGGCCAACGTGCGCGACGTCTTCGACAAGGTGCGTTGTGGCTGTGGAACGGAGGGTATGGGGCGTGCATCGGCGGCCTTGGGTGCTCGAGCTGCAGGCTGCTAGTGTGGAACACCAAGAAACAGTTTAGGAGAAAACTGAGAAAATGGTGCGGCCTTAGCTTGACCAAAGACGTCGGAGCCCCTTTAAGGGGGGACATGGCCTGGGAGGGTCAACTTTTGAACCGTTCCCTTAAATAGATTCAAACTTTCAGGGTGCATTGAACCCAATTAGGATTGATGACACCTAAGGTTTCAGTCTTGTAGGCCAATTCTACTACACACAGTGCTTAAAAAGCTCCAGAAAAAAGTGGCTTCAGTAGGAAATGTATTTAAAAAATACAATAATTCCAATCCACAAAACGTTTGTTTTAATGTGAAGTAGAATACCCATAGTGCAAGTTAGCTGAAAATTAATTGTAGAAAATGCAATTCTAGAGAAAAACAATAACACCCAAAAAGTGCAAAAGATTTTAACAAATTTCTGTGTTTTAAAATATTCAGTTTTTGTCACGAAGAAGTCAGCTTTTTCAGAGTATGAGTGCCTTAACTTGTTCCTAAGGAAATTTCAGTCCAGGACGCCACTGAATGAAATCTAAACTTTCAAAATGTCAAATGAGTTCCTAAGGAAATTTCAGTCCAGGACGCCACTGAATGAAATCTAAACTTTCAAAATGTCAAATGATACATTTCCTCATACCACATTTCCTGCCGAAAAGGGGAACTGAGAAAAATGCAATTGGAGTTTCAACTTTAGGTTTCTTTTTTTTTTTTTGCGTGAGCCCGAGGTAGGCGAAATTCACTTGGGGCATTGTTAGCACCTTCCTCTTTGAGACTTCGTTGTTCCCCTAGCAATAGCTACCAGTTTGCATTGTTTGTAGGCATGCTAGCTTTTGTAGCAGGCATTCCCTGACAGATAAACTGGCAAGAACTAAGAGGCAAATCATGCTAAGGAAGAGCAGCAAGGCAGGAATAGGATCCGAAGTGGAAGATACTGCAAAGGGGCGTTACTGAAGGTGACTCAATATCACGTCACCGGGCAGGACCAATCGTAAACCCTGTTTCGGGTCTCAACCAATAAGACTGCTCATACCAAATTTTCAGGATTTCTTCTGTTTGGATGTAAAGGGTTCTCCTGGCCATTGATACTTTGAAAGCTTCTACGGGCTAAATCTAGAGTAAATGGGACTTCCGATGAAGGTGAGATGTTCTGGCTATGTTAAACGAGTATGAAGAGGCACTAAATAAAGAACACACAAAACTTGCTCCCAGGCGATGCGGAGGGCTGCCGACATGTCGAAAATAATTTATTGTGAGATAAATCCTGCATGTTTATAAATGATATTTTCTGAAACCATTCTTTGGAAGTTAATAAACATAAACATGTAGACCAACACGCGGTCGTGACGTCACACCTTTGCGGTGGCGCTGTTGTCGCCACGGCGCATGCGCAGAAGCTCCGCCTCGCGCGAATCTGGTTTCTGCGCTTGCGCAGTGCCCACACCTGGTGCGGGCAAACGCGGGCTTGTTTGTAAACAGTGTGTCTGTCTATAATTTTTGATAAAAACATTTTTTTCTGAAAATTTGGATTTCTGAGGTCATGTCCCCCCTTAACCTGCAACAAGGTGGAGCACCCTGTTGCAGGCGCGCAAATTGATGTCGCAGCACCCTGTTGCTGCGACATCAATTTGAAAGTTTTCAACTACTCTAGAATCCCACACATTGTTTCGCGATTACCTCTAAATGTGGAGCAGGCGCTTGCCTGGTATTTTATGGTAGATATATTTTCTGAAAGGGTGCGCGAAACTCAGCCTAGAGCAGCAGGCGAATTTCCCAAAAACTTTAATCATTTTTAATCTTAGAAATTCAACAGCACCGAAATTAACCTGCAACTTTACTGGTCCGCCATCTTGTTAGTCAGATGGGCAGCTTGAGCCCGTTTTGCCCAGCATCGGAAGCAGTCAAAAGGTTGTCGCCATCGTCTGTGGGAAATAATGGACGACGATTCATAGAGCTTGTCTAAGTAGATTAATGGGCAGCAAATGTTGTACTCGTTTGCATTTGATGTGCTATTCGCCTCAAACTTAATGCCGTCACGAGATGGTCCGGTTTCTTCACTTTTTGATCTAATCCTGAAAGTAGCGGTCGAAATAGTTGAAGATTTGTGTCGCCGATGAAAACCCATCCAGAGGAAAGTATTCCAGCAGCTGCAGCGATCAATTTATCTTTGGGTAGCATGCAATAGATCAATATTTGCGAAACTGAGTGGCGGCGTTAAGTTTGAGGGGTACTGTACCATCATTGCCTGCGAGAGGACCACCCGTCACAATCTGCCGACATATAGACTCGAATGTCGCCTGAAAAGCAAAATGGTATGGAAAGTTTTGTTTGCTAGCGCGGCGCGAACTGTTTTTTAGAAGGACACGAACACTAGGAGCCAGCGTTACCTTGGAACCGCTTGAACGCACTTGCGTCGCGGACGCTTCTCAATCAGAAACCGACGAGATGTCGTTCTGCCGCATTTATTTGTGGTGTTATTGCACCTCGCAGCACATCACCAATTCTTTCTACCTTCCATTGCTTGCCGTAAGTAGCCTAAAGCAGACACAATCTGTAAAACCACAGATGCTCGCGGAAAAGACCATGGACATCGCAAGTGCCCCTGCTCGTTGTTGCCAGTAGAGCGGCAGCCAGCGATTGGGAGGTGAAAGCGTAAACTTCAAAATTAGTTTTCTCGAAAGAGAAAGATAATTTTGATGGAGATATTTTGTAGACATACTGTGGAGTGGTATTTTGCACTTGGTGAAAATTTGATAAAAATCGGTAACCATCAATGTTTTGCCGGAGGACCAGAAAAGCAGGACAAGGTACCCCCGCAAAGCTCTCCACTCTTCACCTGAGCAGATTGAAGGCTGGAAAGGAGGCAAGAGAAGGTGAAGGGGGACTCTCCTCCACTCCAGTGTTTGCTCTGTAAAAAGCAAGGAGCTCTTTGAGGAAGGAGCTTATCCTGCAACTGGGTATACAATCTATAGCTTGCTCATCTACCCAGGTTCATCTTTAAGTGTGGAAAGGCAATTTTTTGTGCAAGTGCAACACTTTGTGTGTTATGCCTAAAAGATGCGCGCAACGTCTCTGTCCCCTGCAGGCTAGGGCGGCGGCTCCTTGCGTGCTCTTCTTCGACGAACTGGACTCCATTGCCAAGGCCCGAGGAGGCAATGTGGGAGACGCTGGTACGTTTGCAGCATTCTCTTGGGACTCTGTAATTGGGAGAACTTCTGGGTGTGGTAACTTGGTGTTGGCTTCTCGCTGTCTGACGTTGTAAAGACCACGGTACAACTTTTTTTTGCTTTGTTGGTAGTTCTGGTTGGAAATGTGTGTACCCGAGTCATGTTTTTCTTCTTGACCTCCTTGGAAGGACACTCTCATTGTTCATTCTTTCTTTTTTTCACCTTTTTTTGCAGAATATGAGCAAACATTGCGAGAAGAGAAATCGAAATGTTTTAGGATGTCTGTGTTCATTTTCACCTGAGAACCATAGTAAAAATTTTATCTAAGCTTTCAGACACAAAAGCAGTCTTTATTTTCTCCAGTTTCCTTTAAAAATTTAGCCTATAAAAACTATTTCAAGCAGCGTGTGAATTAAGAACAATAAAATTAAATGTTAGTCAAGTTGGCAAGCGTTCATGGTGAAAAAAGCACAAATAGAAACGCTAAATATTTTTTCTTCAAGCTGATTATGCTGAATAGCAGAGGCTGTCTCTCGGCGCAAAAAGTCTAGGTTAAAACTGTAGCACGTGTGGGAGGTTTTTTCCTGTAGTATTTGCGGAAAGCGCAAGGCGCAGCTCATAAACGCGCTCGTGCAACTCTCATTGGGCAGGCGGTGCGGCGGACCGCGTGATCAACCAGATCCTAACGGAGATGGACGGCATGAGCAGCAAGAAGAATGTGTTCATCATCGGGGCCACCAACCGACCGGACATCATCGACCCGGCCATCCTGCGTCCGGGCCGCCTAGACCAGCTCATCTACATCCCGCTGCCAGACGAGAAGTCTCGCATGGCCATCCTCAAGGCCAACCTCAGGAAGTCCCCACTGGCACCCGTGAGTCCTCTCTCTCACGCTTTCCCTCTGCGTGCGTTTGACGCAATGTGGCCTTCTTTGCGATGGTGCCACTGGAGCATTAACTCTTGGAGGGCCGTACAATTGCATATTTCCAAGTTCTCGCTTAAACACAAAACCGGATGTGCCCTGGGTGGGTGCCGCTTTCTGATATGTGTTTGGAGTACTATAGGTGCTGTATTCTCGCCGTGTTTTCCTTGGTGGGGGGCTGTTTATAGTTCTGGAATTAGACGTTCCGTGCACGTGATAGAGGCGTATGCTTGAGCTGCTCTCGAGGTAGTGGCAATCGGACCACTGGCTCCCTCTATGAAGGCTTCCAACCCTTCTCTAAATTGAAATCGGGTGAGCAACGCTTCTGTCAAGGTTCCAAAACTACCCCATATGTGCCGTGAAAAACCATACACTGATTTGCGCAAGTGCAAATGTTACACTGCGACGCACTACTTTTGATGTGAGGGACGGTTGATGCGCAAACTTGGAAGTGTGTAACCGTTCAAAGTGCAGTCTCGACCCTGGTTCCGCATGCCACAAAGTCTGGCCGTGTTGTTAGCCAGCTGGGCAAGCGCCGCGACCCTCCTGCTTACCCCACGAATTGGGCTCTCTCCCATTTGTGGTAGTTTTCGGAGGGCACAGCAAATGCAGGGAAACCTCATCCCAAAGCCGGGTTTTGCAGTGCTCGAGCTTTGCAGAAAGCTTTTCCCACATTCGCAAGGACGTCGTTGAGGCGTGCATGACACCGACACGTGGTGTTTTAACGCAGAATGTTTTGTGGGGTGGGTTTCGGCCTTTGTAGCTTTATGATGTGAAAAAAAATGTTAAACCACAGCCAGATTTAAAGAAAACTTTCCTCATATATATTTATAAGGACAATTTCACGTTTCTTAGTTTCGTCGAAGGCTGTTTGCACATGAACACACACATGCAAATCCAGATTCGGCAGACATTCATTTTAAAGTAATTCAAATTTTTTGTGTAGGATTAAGGTTTTTTTTTCTTTTTTTTGTTATCGATTAAAAATAGCACACACAAATTTGAGTACAGGAAAGGAACATGGAATACAGACAACAAGAAAGACACTCTCCCAACTTAACACCTTACTGCAGTTTTTTTGTGTTTTTTTTATTTCATTAGTGGATGCTTGCTTTTGTGGCGAAGAGCCAGGAATATTAATCCCAGTCGACCAATAGAGCAGCTTTTTAATGAAACAGTAAGAAAATATTTTTTTTTCTTTTGTGTGTGTGTGCAGGAAACTAAGGTTCAAGTTTTATTTTAAGCTTGTCAGTGTAGTCTTAGTTAGAAGCATATCGAGCAGTGCCTCTTTTCCACTTTACTTTGACATTATAAAGTGAAACTAGGAGACACCTCGGGGAAGAAACAAAAAATAAGAAAAGGCCCGAGGTACACCTAAGCACCTCTTATGAGTTGTGAGTGCGAAAGCATGTACATCATTCTTTGCTCCCTTACTCAGTCTCCAGCGTATTTGCGTCGACGGGCACTCGCGCCATGGGGTGGCCAGTCGTTGAAACTGATGCGCAGCAACAGTTTCAACGACCGGCCAAGCCATGGCGCTGCGTGTCCGGCCATTGGGAGCCTCGTCGATGCGCGCCAACCAATGGGATTGAAGCCGAAAATCCCCTGCAAGTTTACTCCGCACTTTGGAATTGCGGAATTTTTGTGCCGTTAGATAGCTTTGCACGTGGTTTCATAGCTGGGAGCTGGCTTCACTTGAAGAGAGAATTTAAGGTGCCGTTTGGCGCGGTTTCGAAGCTGATGATGTCGGCTCGCTCCATGAGACAGTTAATGCTTTTGCATTAAAATAGAAGAGGTGGGAGAGGGGGTTCAGAGACTCTTCAAGAAGGCTTCACCAGCTGCAAATACTAAAACAGAAAACAAAGAAAAAGAAATGGCACAAAAGGAAGATGCGGCAAGTCTGACACGACATTGCATGCCTGGAAGGCTGGGACTAGAATTAGTGTCTGGTGCATTCTTCGTAAAACACAATTCTGCATATGACGGTTTGATCAACGGATTGAAATACAACTACATGTCTTTTGCGCGAGTGATGGGCACTGGAAAGGTGTCCATCAGAAGCACGGTTCCTTGGGCGAGGAGATGCATTTCTATCGGCTCGAAGGGCATTCGCCTCGCCGGCGGTTTTCGGCGGCGTTGCATACGAGTGGCCCCCCTCCTCCACAGGACGTGGACCTGACATTCCTGGCGAGCATCAGCCCTGGCTTCAGCGGTGCGGACCTGACGGAGATCTGCCAGCGGGCCTGCAAGCTGGCCATCCGGGAGTCCATCGAGCAGGAGATCCGCAAGGAGAAGGAGCGGGCGCAGAACCCGGACGCAAACATGGTACACCAGAAGCCGCCTCCCTCTTTTCCCAATGCAGCACTTGCGATGTGACAGCCTCCTCGCACTTGCCTAACGGAAGAGTGCCACCGCGTTCGGCTGGAACTCACATTCTCGCCGATTGAATACTAGACTCCATATGGCGAGGGCGATGTTTCGATTGCACACTCGGAACGAGCTCACATTGGTAGGCTGCCAGGACCGGCAACCTTGATGGTGTGGAATGCACGTTACAGAAGAACTGTAGAAGCACGTGCTCAGCAGTGCTTCTACAGTTTTTAGCGAATACTCCCTGTAGTTGGCGTTAGGTCAAGAGTTCAGGGGAAACTCCTCCTGCCTCTTTCCACTCTAGCACAGCAAACACTGGAAAGGAGGTTGCCTCCTCTCCAGTCACCAACTAGTAAGTATATACAGTTGAACCTCGATGTAACGAAGTCGGTAAAATTCGCAATTTACTTGTTACATTGAAATTTCACTAAATCGAAATTTGGCTTTAGCATGCGAAAAAAAAAAAAAAATCCCGAAACATTTCACGGGTATGAAAACTCACCGAAAATGACATTTATTTAGGGGCAAAGTAGTCCGCGAGTTTTGCTTGCGCCTTGTCCGACAGTAGCAGCGGTGTCGGCGGCGTCATACGGCGTTCGAGCGCCCAGAGCGCTTGCACGGCATCTTGCTGCCCATGCGACGCCGTGTACCTCCTCAGTACGTCCATTGCGTCGAGCACTTCCCGAGTGCTCGTGATCTCGGCAGTTTCTTCAGGATGGCGTCCAAAACGTTTGCTTTCTCGTCCAAAGAAAGAACTTTACGTTTCCCTATGGCAGCAAGCACATGAGTGAACCGCCCGGTTGAAAAATAAAGCTGTTTAGTTTAGGCGGTGCCAATGTTTGCAACCTACACAGCACTCTTGACCGCACAGTTTACTTGCCCCCTTGCGCCCACAGTGTGCTTGCGCCTTTGCTTTACATCCATAGAGATCATACATTTTACAACACGCTCGCAAGACGATAATCGGTCTTTTTGGTCTTCTCCTAGATGGCACTGCCCGTGCGGTCGCGCGGTCGCGCCATCACGTCGCTCCCCCGCTGAAGTTGGCTCCCGCGCTACCCGCGGTACAGTGGACTATGATGATCAGTGAATGTCAGTGGTGATGCTGTTATGCCGTGTTAACTTTTTGCTCGGCATTTTCTGGCCAGCCTCGCGGAATCCGCTTTGCCGCATGCCTCGCCGGCGCTACCGGTGCCGCATCCTCGGGCAGCCTAGGAACGTTGGAAGGCCTGTCCCCGTAAAGTAACCTATCAAGCGCTCGCGTTTGCGCATAATTTTTTTTTTTAACCACAATTTTTTTGCGAAGTTGTGTTTTAGAGTTGATTTATTTATTGCCTTTTATGGCAATGGCGCTTCGTTATATTGAAATAGCAGCAAAATAGACTTCGTTATATAGGGACTAAAAATACATGGGGTCTATGGGCAAGAAATTATGAAAAATAAAATACTTCGTTAAATCGAGGATTTCGTTACATTGAAGTTCGTTATATCGAGGTTCGACTGTAGTGTGTTTTTTGCTATAGTTCTAGAGGTATGTTTGAGTGTTTCGGGGGAAGGGTGTTGCGGTTGAGTTGTCTGTCGGCCCTCTTGCTTACCCCGTGGATGGGCGTTCTCCTGTCCATGGTAGTTTTCCAGAGGGCACAGGAAACTCGTGGAAACCTCATCCCAAAGCCAGGTCTGGCAATGCCTGGGCTTTGCAGAAAGCTTTTCCCACATGTGAAAGGGGCTCGAAGAATTATTTTTAAGTTTTCCCTCCCATAATTCGTAAAAGATATCGGTGTGTGCTCGTTGGCACATGAAATAGGAGACAAGGTGTCCTCGTCTTTTTGTGGCACTTTTCGTCTATAGGTTATATTTTTATGTAGGAATGGAGTGATTGGGCAAGCACGCTGAAATAATAGCAATGCAGGAAAATGTTTAGAATCTATTGGAATTTCTAGGGCTTGGAACAGAGAGTCTACTGTGCTTTGTGTGCGTGGAAACTAAACTTTCCCTTGGAGTTGCTGAGCTTTGGCTTTCAGTGTTTTGTGGCACGTTCGTTTGGCGAATGACGGACATTTTGCGCGTCCATTGGCAGGACGTGGAGGACAGCGACCCCGTGCCGGAGATCCGCAAGGACCACTTTGAGGAGGCGATGAAGTTTGCCCGGCGGTCTGTGAGCGAAAATGACATCCGCAAGTATGAGATGTTCGCTCAGACGCTGCAGCAGAGCAGAGGCTTTGGGACAAACTTCAGGTGAGTTCAACACTGGTTCACCAAGAATGGGAAGGGGCAGGGCCATGCACTCTCAAGGATTGATCTACAAAGAAGAGCTCAGTTTTGATCGTTTAATCAATTTGAGTACCAGGCTATTTTTCCCGCTAATGCACACTCTTGATATTATTTTTTTAATTTGGGAGCGAGACAGATGGAGGGCATCCCATTAAGGGGGACCTGAGGAGGTTTCTGAGATCGCCTAAATAGAGGGATAACTCACTGTGCTGACTCCAGACATCTTAGAAAACGCTAAATTGTGACGATATGTGGCCAATTTCCCTATTAGTCCCTTAACTGTTTTGGACGAGCCTAGCTTGTCCACCAAGAGCCATCCCCAAACCATTAAGAACGAGTGCAGCTCGTCTGCGCACCCTACCTCTCCCCTTGGCTGTTTGTGACGACCCAGGCTCGTTCAAAGCTTAGTTTGCGGCGCTGCTCAGAGATGGCAGCATGTGTTTTTCATTGTGCACATTTTTTAAGAATGGCAACCCGATTGTGGGGACACGTGCAGCCCGAGCTACACGTGCAATAATCAAAATAAAGAGAACGAAAATTGCAGGAAATAAAAACTGTTAAGGTGTTCGGAAGGTTCAAGGTACACCTAAGCACTTCTTATGAGTTGTGAATGCGAAAGCATGCATGCCGCTGTTACGCTCCCTTATTCCGTTTGCGGCGTACTTGCATCGACGGTCGAGCGCGCGCGCTGTATTTGACGCGCTGACCTTGGGCGTGGAGCGATGGAGCCGCTGCCTCGCAGACACATGGCGCCATGGGATGGCGGTCGTTTCAACTGACGCGCAGCGGCCAATGGGAGCCTTGTTTCTTGAAATTGATGTGCACCAGCCTGTGGGACCTAAGCTGAAATCTATCAGCTTCACTTCACGATTTTTTGGGGATCGGGGAAAGTAGGTGCCATTTGGCTAGGGTTTTTGCGTGGTTTCAAAGCTGGGAAACTGCTTCACTTAAAGAAAGGAGTTTAGGTGCCGTTTGGCGCAGCTTCAAAGGTGATGACGTCTGCTCCCTGCATGGGACAGTTAATGCTTTCGCATTAAAAAGCAGTCGAAGATTACAAAACAGTGGGGTCATCTTGGGCGATGGGAGGAGCATGTTCCGAAACCAGGACCATTGTAGGCCAATAGCAAGCAAAGGATCCTCGCGTCTCCGACCAGTGGACCCGCGGAGTGATACCTCGGATGCGCACGGCTCGTCGCCTTGACAGCCCGGACATACGGACTTTAGAGAGTTTTTTTAGTCGGTGTTACTGTCATAGCAGACAAAGTCAGTTGTGTACCATTGAAGCCATCGCTTCGTTGCGCCATGTCTCACTAACCTGATGCTAGCGAGTGCTTGCTCGAGAGCAGACGAGCAGACGACCGGACACATCACTCCCACAGAAGATGAAAGAAAAAAAAACAAAAAATGTAGTGCACAGTTTTTAATCAATTCTTGCAGTGTTATGCCTGTCCCCTCTCAGCGAAAAATTAACATTTGTCTCATACTCTTATTTGCTCTTATCTACAAAAGCATAAACATTTTGTAGTAACAGCTTGCGCGATCTCCACAAAATGTTGCGTTTTCATTGGTCACATGTCGTCTTGGCTGCTGAAACATACTCCCCCATTGCCCGAGATTACCTTGGTGTATTGCAATCTTTTGCTTTTTTAATGGAAAATCAGCCGTGTGTGATTTAGGAATTTGTAGGGGGCTCAGAGCCATAAGAATGAGTTATCGCCATATTTAAGCGATCTCGGAAACCTCTTCAGAATCGCTGTAAACATCGCACAAATTTTTCGTTGTTGCTTTTTTTTTTTTTTATTATTATTAATTGATACTTGGAAAATGTCTTTGTCTGCCTCTTTACAGTTCGAGCAAGAGACACTTTGCACTGTTTTTAGCACAAAAAAAAAAAAAAAAAAAGAAATTGAAATAGAGAATTTTACGTATGAGACAAAATTTTAGTATTGAACATTTGGTATGGCAGGCAATGTATCGGGAGTGGACAGTCATTTGTGGCTTCTTGTGCTTTTGTTTTTAACACAGGTGTTATAGGGCTGGGTGTGAATAGAAAAGCAACAGATTACACTCGAATGACACACCGGTCAGTCAGATAGCAGTATAGCCCCATAGGTATTATATTGCTTATAGACCGGAGTTCAAAATCCTGGCCTCCAGCAGTAAACATTGGAAATAATAATCTCAAACGCAGGCTCTTGTGAAGAAAGGGGCTGCACATGAAACATATATTTTTTTTTTTTTTAGCACTCTTGGCATTGGTGTTCTTAGAGCTTTGCAACTAGGCATTTGTGTTCGTAAATTCTGATATGTGCGAAGGTTTCTAAAAAAAAAAAAAAACAGCCCTGCAGAAAGCGCAGCCCCCATACTGTGTCATAGCGTCAGCATAAACAAACATGACTGCACCCATGGAACCAAGCAAACACTGATCTATGTGACTGATGTCTGGCTCTGATGGGACACTGTTGTTATGAGGTCTCGTGAGCTGGGCACAAACAGCGTGTGTCCAGCTCATTCAAAACATGTTCTTTGCATCTTCGAGTTTTATCTTGTATGATGGAGACATGCTTAGCTTTATCATTGTTTCGCTCATCAGCTGAGGAGTGAGTCAGCGTTGCTCGGTGTTTTCCAGATTCCCCAGCGCGCAGCCCTCGGGACCCGGCGGCAACAGCCAGGGAAATCCCAACCCGTCGCACTTCCAGGACGACGACGACGACCTCTACAGCTAATTTCACCCCTGGCCCCACCCCCACACCACCCTTTTCCATACTCCCCCACTGCAGTCGTGACAAACGTTCACCACCAGAGAGGCAAACCTTCTGAAGGAAACGGAGAGATGCCCCCACCACACATGCCGGTGTATTAAAGCGGACAACACCTAAAAGGAGCTGGCTGCTTCCTTCTGGGCACAAGAAATCGGCTTTCTTCTTTTTTTTTTTTACATGTTTAATATATGGTTTGGTTTGTTCTTGTGTTTCTCCAGAAGTAGACATAACTTGCTGGAGGACAGCGAGCAGATGTTGGGCGTGAAATTGCCTGTACGACGACTTCTTCACTACGAAGCTAGATGCGACTGTAAAGCAGTTAAAATTGTGGTATCGCATCTCCTTTTGTTTTGAAATGAGGAGGAAAAACAATGTTCCGTGCATTGTTTGTGGCGTCTTCGGTGGATGCGAGCGTTTTAAAGTGGGAGAGCCCCAAACAAATTTTTTTTTTTTTTTTGTCTGTGGGAATGTACATAAGTTTGGCTTTTTTTTGTATTGAAACCACGTGGCTCGTTGTATTCCGCCTGCTTAGCTTTTCGACAGAAGTGCGGTTCTGTAATCAATAAACTATTTTCCACTTCTTGGCGAGGAGTCGCATGTTTGATGATTGGTCTTGCTCGACAGAAAAATGCAAACCAGTGGCGGGTGGTCTTTGAGGCAGTCTGCATGTCTTGCGAGGATTAGAGTGCATACCGAGAATCTAAATGGCCCTAGCTGCAACGTTGGGGTGAAGAGAAAGGGGGAAGCCAGGAGGGCTGGATGTATCCTATTGCCTATGTCAGAACTTTGTGCCATGCTCCCAACAAACCAGTGCTAGGGCCACTGTTGTGGAGGAATGCAGGAGGTTTTCTTGTAAAAAGTAAAAAGGCATGATGGCCTAGTTCTTTCGGAGGCCTGTGCACACGCTGGCGACCACAAGCTTCCACAGCGAAAGCCTAGGACTTGGTCCGCTGCTTCGACAAGGTGGTCGCCAGCATGCACAGGCCTTCGATAGTTTTGTCAGGCAGTTGCGGTAGGTTGTTTAAACTGTTCGTCCACATAATATGGTTGGAAGGCGGAAAACTGTTGCTGTGCCATCGCACATTGCCCGTGCGGCTCTCTCCAATGCCTCCACCATGCTTCGGTACCGACAACGCTTGCCAACATTTAAATGGCGATGCCCTCAGTGTTGTCAGACCACCAAGCAATTTCGCATAAGGTCAAACGTTGGGGCCCCTTATTCTAAAAGTCTAATGCTGCAATTGACACGAGTGGTATTTTGCGAAATTTGGATTGCCATAGCTGCTCGTGCAATAAAATTAAAGGACGCATGAGAAATACGTCGGAAAGTTTGACTGAATTGTAGTGCTAGGTACCACTTTACGGACCTGTGTGAACAAATATTTGTTTGGTTTGACAGATTCGCGCTGTAAATTTCGGCGTCACCAACCACCAAAAGTATATATACCTCTATTCGCCGTCGACAACCCTGGACTCTAATAATTGTTGTGTTAGGCTTTTTCTTTTCTTTTTTTTTTTTGTGCCTCAAATATTGCGGGCCTTAGATACTGGCAAAAGTTAAAACAACGTACTGAAAAAAAAAAAAAAAAGCGTCGTCATTATTGCGCATGCGCCGAGTCAAAATCGCGTTTTGGATTTGCTAATAGAGACGACGCCATTTCTTTGCGTACGATATTATAAAACTGGCTATTGTTAAGCTGTCCATGGTAGTTTCTTACGTGGGAAGTCCAACCTTTCTGTTATAATAAATTACGCGGATTGAAATGGTTATCTATATTTGGCAATCAATAAATCACTTGAAAGGCTGCCGGACCAAGCACGGTATACAATTCCTTAAACTTCATAAGTAAACCGACCAACCGAATGTTCACGCTGCAAAAAAAGATTGAGAAGCTCATACACATGTAGGTGTGATGTTACGAACAAACAAATCGCCTGATGTTGACGTACCTTTATTCCTAGCCTCAGATAAAATACATGTTAAACGTTCGTTGTCTATCTCCTCCACGAATTTCCTCACATAATCAACAGAAATCGTATTCGATATGTTATGACATAGCCTCCTCTATACTGAGAAAGCCTGGCAGATCGCCACGAGAGCGGCACACAACGGATGAGAAGAGAGCCACGTGACGGGCGCCCCTCTACGGCGAGAAGCCGAAACACACTACTCCCGAGCGCTGGAATGTCCGCTCGTGCTCCTTGCGTTCCTCGCGCTAGCGCTTCTTTTCTCGTCGGGTTTGAAAACCATGTTTCGGGTCCCCGCCGCTGCAAAGGCTGTGCGGTGACGTCCAGGTTCCTCGAGAAATGCTCTGTGCTACCAGCTCCTCGCGCTCCAAATCTGCGACCGGGCACTCTATGGCTCCGTCGTCGAACTGCCAGGCTCTGAGTATAGAGGAGGCTATGATTATTATTACGATACTTTCAGGAAATGCAGATAGTCTCCTTGCGCTGACTATTCTTGACGCGTTCCGATCCTAAATGCACGATATAAATATACGCGCTTCTTACTGAGAATGTTCCGCCACTATTAGTAACGAATACCTCAGTTGTCATAAGGACCTTTGAATCCTCGTGATGTCTTAGTCGTCGTGAAGATGTATCGGAGTAGTTTCCGGAGTAAGGAAAGAAAGCGCGATGAAACGCGACGAAAAACATCAATACAACGCGTCCACCAAGGCGCGGAAGAGAGATCGGAGCAACAAGGTGAAGCAACCTAATGGCTTCCGCTTCACGTGATTCAAAGATGGCGGCACTCATGCGACGGAGGTTGGAAAGGGTAGCAGAGTATCGCAACGGCGCCATTCTGGAGCCAAGCACTGCGGGAAGCACGCTCGGTTTTGCAGGGGACACAAAGGCGCAGACGCGAGGCAACGTGCTGTGGCGTGCTGCGGCGCGCTGCGTAAGGAAAACATAGAGTAACGGTATAAGCCTATACAGTTACTCTAAAACGGAGTATATCGAAAAGTCATCTGGTGGCGCCGCTCGCAACCAAGGCGAGGAGGCGACTTTATCTGGCAGCTGCGACGCACGTGGTAACTACACCTATATTCGTACGCAGTATACGTCGTACTCATAGTTAGGTGTAATTATTTGTAATACGTGAGATTTACTAAGCGCCTCCGTGGGCATCGGACCGCGGTGTAAGAAGGCATAGGTGGAGTAACCCCGCCAGAGACGTGGAACTTTCGGCCCCGTTTCTTACGCGCGCCACCAGATGGCGCCACAGTCGTCAAGGCCTACGTAAAGAGCTTATTGGAGTAGAGAGATGGTTCATCTCAAGCCATTTTGCAATTTGATAGCGGACACGAGCTCCCGCGCCGATTGGTCGCAAGTGCGGATGCGCATGCGCTGTCGCGTGATGAGGGGTAAAGCAGGCCGTGACGTTCGCTGACGATTAAAGCTTTAGCCACCTACTCTCAGCTCGTATTGCAAATGCGACCCGTCGAGAAGTTCGAAACTGTATTATAGGCCTGTTTCTCTCGGCCAGGGGGCGCTGTAGCGTCGTCGCAACGAGGTAGAGGGGCTTAGAGCGATAAGCTGGTACCCCGTTCACAAGGCGAAAGTGACCCCAACTTGGCTGCTATACCATGTTGTACAATTTTGACCACTAGACACGTGAACGTGCCAAGTCCTGTGGGGTTTACGCAAAACTGAGCCGAGATTTGTATCGCGGTCGCTGTAAAAAAAACACGATAAACTATTTTTTTTTCAATACTCTTAGTTCCAGAGGTCAGTGTCCAGCTCCTATAAAAACCCAAAATACAGCACCGCGGCTGACGGCATCTAGCGGAGGTATTGCGAAGCTGCCCGAGTTCTGGTCGTAAAAGCATTTTTTGGACTTAAAACAAACGAAACACAACTTATCTCGTCGGGACTTTTATTAAAGATCATTAAGCAATTATTTGTGCGCGGTACTTTGTTAAAATTTAGACGTAAAACTATAAGGTCACGTGTCTAGTGGTCAAAAATGTGCAACATGACGGTGGCCAATGGGGGGTCACTTTCAGCTGCCAGTTTATCCCTCTGAGGCCCTCTACCTCTGCGGACGGTAGTGGAGGAACCACAAAAGAGGTTCTTCCACTACCGTCCGTGGACGCAATCATTTAATGGTGGCTTGAAGCGGAGTCCTAGAGTCCACATGCACGGTTCACGGGCGTAAACCAGCGTTCGTCCACACGCACAGCCAGAGCGTTTCAAAGGACGCAATACGACGAAGAACGGAAACGCGACCTAGGAATGTCCGATTTGGCTCACTAGGGGCGCTGCTCGAAACTTGACAGCTAGAGTACAATAGGCCCACGCAAAGGCGTTTGCTATGCGCAGAGTGCAACGGAGCTTTGCAGGTGTCAAACCGAATACAACAGTTAAACGTGGCACTTTTAAGCTACGGTGGATATTCCTGATGTTATAAAAGCTATATAAGGCTTCTGGTCGATGTAATTTTCAGCGCTTGTGTGTATGGAGCGTGCTTTCTTCCTGAAGCGAGAAACACGTAGTTGTTGAGATTGCGTACTGGGCTGTGGAATAATAAACATACGAGTGCACACATAACAGACCCCCGGATTCAAGCGTACTATCGGCGTTCTTGGAGTCGGGCAAAGGACAGGACGCTGAAGTCCTGTCGAACGACGGCATGCCTCTTGTGTATTGAGTACACTTTAAAAATACTATCCCACGGCCAACAAATGGCTTCTCCTGTTTTAAAGCGCAGCTCTTAGGGGCCCGTCCCCGGCTTGAGCGGCGTCGGCGTAACCAAGGTCACCCCAAGGTCAAGCGGCCCCCAAGGTCATCCCAAGGTCACGTGACCCCAAGGTCACGTGGCACCTAAAGTCACGTGCCCCCGAGGTCACGTGACCCCCCGAAGTCACGTGACCACCCCCAGGGTCGTTTGACCCCCCCCGCCGAGGTCACGTGACCTCCCCGATGACGTCACCGGTATCCGCATCGTCATCGTCATCATCACTGATGACGATCACGCGGCCCCCAAGGTCATCCCAAGGTCACGTGACCCCAAACGGGACCCCAAGGTCACGTGACACACAAAGTCACGTGAGTACCGAGTTCACGTGACACCCCCGAGGTCACGTGACCACCCCCACGGTCACGTGACCCCCCCGCCGAGGTCACGTGACCTCCCCGATGACGTCACCGGCATTCGCATCGTCATCATCACTGATGACGTCATCAATGACGTCACTGATGACCTCACCGGCATCCGCATCCCCAAGGTCACGTGACCCCCGAGGTCACGTGGCACCCAAAGTCACGTGCCCCCGAGGTCACGTGACCCCCCGAAGTCACGTGACCACCCCCAGGGTCGTTTGACCCCCCCCCGCCGAGGTCACGTGACCTCCCCGATGACGTCACCGGTATCCGCATCGTCATCATCACTGATGACGATCACGCGGCCCCCAAGGTCATCCCAAGGTCACGTGACACACAAAGTCACGTGAGCCCCGAGGTCACGTGACACCCCCTAGGTCACGTGACCACCCCCACGGTCACGTGACCCCCCCCGCCGAGGTCACGTGACCTCCCCGATGACGTCACCGGCATTCGCATCGTCATCGTCATCATCAC